ACTCCCGTCAGGACTGGTATTGTTAGGGATAAACGTACAACAATGGCTTACCATTCTATAGACACCACCCCTTTCTGCCTGATCTAGAGCCAACCTCTTTTTACTAAGTCATAAGAGTGAGATGGCGGATAATTGTTCAAAGATCCCTTCTGTTGCATCCCTAGTCCAGCCAATAAATCGTTGTTGGTCGTAATAGATATAAATAATCAAATTCACAATTTTGTTTATTGTCACCCACCAAAAGAACGTGGTAGTAAACCCTTCCCCTAATTGTTTCATAGCTCGGTATCCATCCGATACCCCCCTTGGTATCCCAATTGCATCCATCTAAATAGGGCTATTCTCCTTCTTGTTAAAACTCCTCCTACATCTGTTTAATCCTTGGTTCCTGGTGACTAATTCTAACTAGCTGAACCAGGGCGCACGTATCTAGCCACCCTTTTGGAATTCTCTGCCTTATACTGCCTTTACTGGCACACGCCCACCACACATCGGTTACAGGGGCTGTAAGGTTCAAAATTCTCTCCTGTGCTTCCGAATTTAAGTCCGTCACATTACTACTATCTCCAATTGATAATTGGTGATGTCTTTGTTTCTCTTTACCCCCCATCTGGATGTTCAGTCCCGCCCGGTCTCATATCCCCATGTGTGTTTAAACACCTGAGTATAGGAACAATCCGCCGTTGGGGGCCGAACACGAATATAATGGGATTTTATAATCCCAAGCTGTTTATTGAAATGTACCCCACCCATTGGCTACGTCCCTAACCCTTATTCCGAATCTGACAGTCTGCCCTTCTCTCAGTACAGCACAAACCTATTATGTTTAATCATTAATGTATTCTTTCTAAGCTAGGCATCACATCTAGTTGTAAGAAAATAGATCCCCACACATTCTTTATTCATGGCTGTGTTCTTAGGCAAAATTGTGAGTGAGCCCTCTCCCTTGGCTGAGAAGCAACCCCACACATGAATGGTCTCAGGACGCTTTACTGTTGGCATGACACAGGACTGATGGTAGAGCTCACCTTGTCTTCGGAAAGGGTATTCATCAGAGAAAATGACTTTACCCCAGTCCTCAGCAGTACAATCCCTGTACCTTTTGCAGAATATCAGTCTGTCCCTGATGTTTTTCCTGGAGAGAAGTTGCTTCCTCGCTGCCCTTCTTGACACCAGGCCATCCTCCAAAAGTCTTCGCCTCACTGTGCGTGCAGATGCTCTCACACCTGCCTGCTGCCATTCCTGAGCAAGCGCTGCACTGGTGGTGCCCCGATCCCACAGCTGAATCAATTTTAGGAGACGGTCCTGGCGCTTGCTGGACTTTCTTGGGCGCCCTGAAGCCTTCTTCACAACAATTGAACCTCTCTCCTTGAAGATCCGATAAATGGTTGATTTAGGTGCAATCTTACTAGCAGCAATATCCTTGCCTGTGAAGCCCTTTTTGTGCAAAGCAATGATGACGGCATGTGTTTTCTTGCAGGTAACCATGGTTAACAGAGGAAGAACAATGATTTCAAGCACCACCCTCCTTTTAAAGCTTCCAGTCTGTTATTCTAACTCAATCAGCATGACAGCGTGATCTCCAGCCTTGTCCTCGTCAATACTCTCACCTGTGTTAACGAGAGAATCACTGACATGATGTCAGCTGGTCCTTTTGTGGCAGGGCTGAAATGCAGTGGACATTTTTTGGGGGGATTAAGTTCATTTTCATAGCAAAGAGGGACTTTGCAATTCATCTGATCACTCTTCATAACATTCTGGAGTATATGCAAATTGGCATCATAAAAACTGAGGCAGCAGACTGAAAATTAATATTTGTGTAATTCTCAAAACTTTTGACCACGACTCTAGTGTCCTAGTCCTTGGGCCAACCTGTTGAACCAGCAACATCCATGAAGGCGTACGCTTTTCACCCATGAATGCCTCAAAAGGCCAAAATAAAAATACTGTTCACTGGGATTTCAAATGAAGAGCGCTTCAAATTTCCAAATGGTATTTTTCGATGAAACATGACTGTTTTATGGACTTTTGGATACAGTTTTGACCTCAGCCTTTACATCTAGCATCTAGGACACAGATGCAGATACACACACAGTCTGTAAAAAGCCAGGCGGTGGCTGGAGAAGGAGCCTGCAGTGAAGACTTGAATAATCAGTTTAATAATATTATCCTCGCTGTGCTCTGTAGCGCGTGGATGTTAACCGTTAATGGAGTGTCACTGTGAAACCACAGCATCTCCGTCCCGTTATTAACGGCAGCCTACGGTCAACCATGCACACATAATAAAACCACATAAAATAACATAAACAGACAGTCCAGTCGTAATAAAATAAATAGTTATGCGAAGAGCCGTTATAGTGATAAGCTCTGATGCAAATACGTTAAGGTTACAAGGCAACAGAGGAGAACATTTAAGAATGAAGTTGTAACCTGGCTGGGAGAGGAAGAGTTATTAATGTTGCTGTAGGATGTGGTGGTGAATCGACCATGTGTAACCAGACATACAGTGGGGGAAAAAAAGTATTTAGTCAGCCACCAATTGTGCAAGTTCTCCCACTTAAAAAGATGAGGCCTGTAATTTTCATCATAGGTACACGTCAACTATGACAGACAAATTGAGAAAATAAAATCCAGAAAATCACATTGTAGGATTTTTAATGAATTTATTTGCAAATTATGGTGGAAAATAAGTATTTGGTCACCTACAAACAAGCAAGATTTCTGGCTCTCACAGACCTGTAACTTCTTCTTTAAGAGGCTCCTCTGTCCTCCACTCGTTACCTGTATTAATGGCACCCGTTTGAACTTGTTATCAGTATAAAAAGACACCTGTCCACAACCTCAAACAGTCACACTCCAAACTCCACTATGGCCAAGACCAAAGAGCTGTCAAAGGACACCAGAAACAAAATTGTAGACCTGCACCAGGCTGGGAAGACTGAATCTGCAATAGGTAAGCAGCTTGGAGAAATCAACTGTGGGAGCAATTATTAGGAAATGGAAGACATACAAGACCACTGATAATCTCCCTCGATCTGGGGCTCCACGCAAGATCTCACCCCGTGGGGTGAAAATGATCACAAGAACGGTGAGCAAAAATCCCAGAACCACACGGGGGGGACCTAGTGAATGACCTGCAGAGAGCTGGGACCAAAGTAACAAAGCCTACCATCAGTAACACACTACGCCGCCAGGGACTCAAATCCTGCAGTGCCAGACGTGTCCCCCTGCTTAAGCCAGTACATGTCCAGGCCCGTCTGAAGTTTGCTAGAGTGCATTTGGATGATCCAGAAGAGGATTGGGAGAATGTCATTTGGTCAGATGAAACCAAAATATAACTTTTTGGTAAAAACTCAACTCGTCGTGTTTGGAGGACAAAGAATGCTGAGTTGCATCCAAAGAACACCATACCTACTGTGAAGCATGGGGTGGAAACATCATGCTTTGGGGCTGTTTTTCTGCAAAGGGACCAGGACGACTGATCCGTGTAAAGGAAATAATGAATGGGGCCATGTATCGTGAGATTTTGAGTGAAAACCTCCTTCCATCAGCAAGGGCATTGAAGATGAAACGTGGCTGGGTCTTTCAGCATGAAAATTATCCCAAACACACCGCCCGGGCAACGAAGGAGTGGCTTCGTAAGAAGCATTTCAAGGTCCTGGAGTGGCCTAGCCAGTCTCCAGATCTCAACCCCATAGAAAATCTTTGGAGGGAGTTGAAAGTCCGTGTTGCCCAGCGACAGCCCCAAAACATCACTGCTCTAGAGGAGATCTGCATGGAGGAATGGGCCAAAATACCAGCAACAGTGTGTGAAAACCTTGTGAAGACTTACAGAAAACGTTTGACCTGTGTCATTGCCAACAAAGGGTATATAACAAAGTATTGAGAAACTATTGTTATTGACCAAATACTTATTTTCCACCATAATTTGCAAATAAATTCATTAAAAATCCTACAATGTGATTTTCTTTTTCTCATTTTGTCTGTCATAGTTGACGTGTACCTATGATGAAAATTACAGGCCTCTCATCTTTTTAAGTGGGAGAACTTGCACAATTGGTGGTTGACTAAATACTTTTTTTCCCCCACTGTAGCCTCACTTAAAACGATGGGTAGATGTCTCAAGGTTGTTTGTCTATTGTCTGTTATTGACTGGGCATATATGTAGGGTCTCTCTCCATGGTTAGATGGTGATTGAGGTGCAGTAAAGGTTAGCTCTAGAGTAGGGCTCTCCAACCCTGTTCCCGGAGACCTACCATCCTGTAGGTTTTCGCTCCAACCCTAATCTTGCACACCTGATTCGAATAATTAGTTGATAAGCTGAATCAGGTTAGTTACAACTGGGGTTGGAGCAAAAACCTCCAAGAACAGGGTTGGAGAGCCCTACTCTAGAGGAAGGCCTTGCAGAATGGATAAGAACTGGAGTGAACTGTGAGGTTATAGAGAGGATGAGGTCAAGAAGCCATTGGATTTACTGTGTGTGCGTCCGAGCTTGTACCAGCATCCAGCTTTCACAGCATTGTCAATACTCTTCCCCCTCTCGATATGTCCAACATTTAAATGAAATCAATGATAAAAGACACTGGGGAATTGCTATAAAAGTTTCTCAAAGCAGCTTTATATCATGAATATTAAAAGTACAGGAAATACAGCAAATAGATAGCGCTGAGGGTAATGTTTCAAAGTGCTTCAGTTGTCATTGGAATATAGAGATACAAAATAATCTACAAGTCTACATCTTGTCTGTATACTTTGAAGTGCGTCAGCACTAGTATGCTACACAAGGTTATACATTTCCTGGGAAAAAAATCCACACCAATATTCTACACCACGTAAAAGCATTGAGGGGAAAAAGGCACATTTGTGATACAGCAGTCAAGTTATATTTGCAACAAAAGAGGAATTCCTTTTTGTGAGCCCAAGGCCGCAAAAGTGCTGGTGGTGAGCAGTTTAACTCAAGGTAACCTCCTTGTGAAAAATGTCTGCAGCTGCTTAGGGTTCACAGTACATAAGACTCCTCCCCCTCGCCTTGCCTCAGATAAGAACGTGAATCTCAATTTTGCAGGTTTGCGAGATCAATAAAGAGAAAATTGCACACCTTTTGTTCAAGAACACTTCAGCCAACCCTGCTGGAAGCAAACCACCCCAGTAAAACAATCATTTGTCTCCCTCCTCTTACACCCAGCCAGCCTTTGATAATAGCTTCGATTTTACTCTGCATCCATAACCCAGGCACCTCTCCTCCCACCTTGACATCTTCCCTCCTTCCTATTCCTCACTCCCTTTACCATCTTTCTCCAGTTGTTCCCCTACTTCTCCTCTCCATCTCTTGGCACGGTCACACCAGTGGTTGTTTGTCGCCACTGGTAGAAGGCAGAGACTCCACACTGGCTGTGTAGATGGGCTTCTTCTGAGAGCGGTCATCACTGGAGGTAGAGAGAGGGGGAGGAGAGAACATTGCACCATTATTTGTAAATGGACTGCCCAGAGAAAAGGCCAAGTAAGAGAACAAATAGACTGCCAACCAGTGGTCTACAGAATATACTGTAGGTCAAATGTAAGGAGCAACCTAACCTCAATAGCTTTCATATTACATAAGACACAGAATACTTACAGAAAGCATGTACTGTACTCATCATGTTGTAATCACTCTGATAAGAGGTTAATCAACAGAAGTTGTGGGTCACAATGTGTCTGATTACTGTGTATTTATTATGATTTTAACAGTACATACTATGACCACAGTATACTTTTTTAAATTATTTGTTTTATCACTAGTTAACCTTTGACTTCTTTCACATGTTTTGCAAGAGTCTGGTGAAAACACACCCACATGAAATAAATACTATAGTATAAATACTACAGTATGCACTATTATTATCTTTGACATAGAAGTGGAGGCTTTCTCTTTGAGGAAACCTACTAGAGAAATTCTAAGAGCACAGTTTCCATAACCTGTAAGTAGGTAGGACTGGCGTCTGAACTTCAGCTCTTTTTTATAACCTGTACGGAACACAATATATGGTCTATACTTGGCATGTAGGTTTCTTACTTACAGGTGGCACAAATTGGTATAGGGGAATGGGTATATGCAAATTATATACTGTAGTATTTACTAGTTTAAAAAAGTGTAGTGTGTTTGCGGACATTACTGTAGTATTTATTATAGTATTCTACAACATTCTATAGTAAGTACTACACATGATTGAGGGATACTACAGTGTGTAGTATAGTATTCTACAGTTCACCACATAATTCTATAGTGAGTACTGTAGTATTCTATAGTATTTTTTCATGTGGGCAGGGAAGTGGAGAGGTCAGTGAGGAAGTAAGTGACTGGGTCGAGCTGGTCACCGCCACAGTCTACAAGAACACTTTAACACACACAGTAAATCCACCTTAGCCTTCGTACTATCATAAGAGTCAGAGTGAAATATGAGGCAATAGATATAATATATTGGCCTGGCTATAACCTGGGATAAATAGAAGAGAGGGAAGAGATACTGTGACCTGTACGCTCTTGTTGGCTGGTCCTCACTACATATTCGTCGCCAAACCCACTGGCTCCAGGCCATCTATAAATCACTGCTAGGCAAATCCCCGCCTTATCTTAGCTCATTGGTCACCATAGCAACACCCACCCGTAGTATGCGCTCCAGCGGGTATATCTCACTGGTCATCCCCAAAGCCAACACCTCCTTTGGCCGCCATTCCTTCAAGTTCTCTGCTGCCAATGACTGGAACGAATTGCAAAAATCTCTGAAGCTGGAGACTCTTATCTCCCTCACTAACTTTAAGCATCAGTTGTCAGAGCACCTTACCGATCACTGCACCTGTACACAGCCCATCTGAAATTAGCCCGCCCAACTACCTCATCCCTATATTGTTATTTATTTTGCTCATTTGTACCCCAGTATCTCTATTTGCACATCATCTCTTGCACATCTATCATTCCAGTGTTAATACTAATTGTAATTATTTTGCACTATAGCCTATTTATTGCAGGGGGCAAATAAAAGAAGTGAACACCACACACAAAGAGAAGGTGAGAAGGTCACTGGGACACAGCGCTCAGCACTCACATGGGTCCCTTGGTGCTCTTGGCCTGCTTGGCCCTGCGGACCAGGAAGACGGTGATAGACAGGAGCACCACCAGTACGACTGCCACCGCCACGGAGGTCATCAACACCAGGATGGTGGAGTCGTACCAGGCTTGGTGGAGACGGCCGTTGGTGGCTGTAGGCCGGAGAGTCAGATATATTACAGGCTTTAATACCAGATTATTCACAGACAGTTCTTTTTTGCCTAGTCCCATACTGTCCATGTTGTGGTGTAGCCAACTCTTCTGGATAAGATGGTTATTATCTGACCCTGCTGGTAATCTATGAACGTTCGAATGTCTTGAAAAACTCTTAAATCTCCACCCGGTATAGCCAGAAGAGGACTAGTTCCTCTTTCATTTTCTTCCTAGGTTCCTGCTTTTTAGGTAGTTTTTCCTAGCCTCTGTGCTTCTGCATTGCTTGCTCTTTGAGGTTTTAGGCTGGTTATCTGTAAAGCACTTTGTGACAACTGCTGACGTAAAAAGGGCTTTAAGAAATACATAGACTAAAATGAAGTGCAATTTATTATTCACTTCCACCTCCTACTGAAGCAGTGTCTTTACTGTTATAATTGACATACATCCAGTTTGATTGGCGTGGTTTACTTTGATGCTAGAAAATTTAACCGATTGTAATCATAAGGATTATAAATTACTGTATATTGGCGATATGATTATGCGGAAAAAACGATGATCCTTAATGCAGCGTAATCATCTCGCAGGTTGCTGATAAAAATTAAGAATGATGAGTATCATAAATTGGATTAGTGACATCTTTAGTGTCCTAAGAGACGTCCTCTGCAGTGGCCAATTCCTCTCCTCGTCACATAGCCGTAAGACACCCGCCTTCATGAGAGCTCGCTAAACACTCCCCCTCCCCATATGTACCTTGGCCACAACTGCCCCTCTCCCTAACCTCTGTACTCCTCGCCTTCCCTCCTGCCCGCTTGCTAACCCCTACACTTCAACACTTCATAACCTCGACCCCTGTAGTCCCCCCTTCCTAACCCCTGTCTACCTACCTGGCAGCACAGTGATGGAGATGGTGCTGCTCTTCTTCAGGCTGGACAGGGTGGGGTGCTCAGCCATGCAGGTGTAGTCTCCACCATCCTCCATTCTCACATTCTTCAGCCTCAGCTTGGGGGAGGGCACGATCCAGTCCTCTCCCTGATAGGGGGAAGGATGGTGGGTGAGAGGGAAGAGAGAGAAAAAGTGAGCGAGGGGGGTGCGAATGGAGGAGAAAGAGAAAACGAGTCAAGAAAAAGTGATCCGCAGTGGAGTTAGTGTGGGTCACTGTGAGAGAAGCGATAGACTTCCAGACAAGGTGTATTTACCTGAACAGTAATCCCACTGAATAAATTCCACATAAACCCCATTCACTGACCTAGATTAGGCAATCAGCAAAGAAAAGCACAGCTACACTGTTAACACAACACATAATGAGCAAACGGGATGCACTGTGGACACAAAAATAGCTGCTGCGCTATTATTAAGAGGGAGAGTTAGACACAGTAGGCGAGGAATAATAGGAGAAACAAAATACAAAACAAACCCAAAAAAAGACATTACACCATGCAAATGATTTGGCTCCTGGGATCTAAAATTTTCCTGCCAAGAAAGTCCATTTCAATTTGAATGGGGGATTGAATTAAGAGGATTTCCAGGAAAGGCCAGGTTTGGCCAAAACAGCATTCTGTATGCAAATCCACTGGCTCAGACGCATCCAGCCTCCTGCCTGCCTCCCATGGACATTACTAGAGACCAGGATTGTACAGTCAGTTGGCTGCTGTCCATCAAATGACCCATACTGTTTGTTTCTCTGCCCCCATAATTCCTCCCATCTCCATCCTTGAATACGTTCTACCCCAAATCCAAATGTATAAACAGTTATACAAACTTATGTATGTGTGGACAGACAGGTACACAGGTAGATTGAGGGTATTCAAAGTGACGGATATTGGAGGGATATTCTTTCTAAAGAATTCAAATTCAGAAAATTGAACTGTAATAAAATAGAAAATGTATTAAAATGAGGACTAACTTGATTTCAAAAGGTGTGAAATTGTATCAGGTCTGAAATAGTGGACCCACAATATGCTGAAGTAGTGATACCTCATTTCACCATTAGGGAGCAGCAAATCAATTCACCAAGGTCTTATTGTTGCCTACATGGCCATTCGGTATTTGACATTTAGCATTGAGAGGTCTTAATTCCCCAGGGTATTAGGTTTGTGGCTTTGGTACAAGCAAGTTGAATAATTCAACAATGGTTAACTGAACATTGAAAAATCATTAGGAATCTATCTACAGAATGGCTTTCAGGTTGACTGCCACTTGTCTAGACCTCATTAAACTATTAATCCTCTGTAAGTGGGCAAGCTGCTCTCCAGAAATAGGAGGGCCAACACCAGGGAATACTGAGCACCTCTTATGGTGCTGAGAGAGAAAGAGAAGAGGGACAGAGTGAGAATGAGAGAGTGATAGAAGGCCAGATCTTGACAGACCCAAACTCACATATTTCTGCCAGGAGTACTGTGGTGCCTCAGAGCCTGTGGTGGAGCACTCCACCTCCACGTCTTCCCCTAGTGTCACATGCAGGTTTTCCTTGATGAACTTCTGGCTGGAGGAGGACACATCGTACACAGACAGCTCACGCATGTCTGAACAGGGGATCAGAAACACAGCAGGTTCAGGCAGAAATCAAGAAGAATGCATGTGTGATGGTTTTAAGAGGTTTGAGTGTGTGTGTGCGCGCGTGTAGTGTACAAGCATGCATAGACATGTGAAAGTCAACAGAGCCATATCCTTGAGTATACTGCAGTATCGTGCCTCAAATCCTCTACAAATTGCCCTCGAGGGAGGAACAATCAGATAATGGTAAATGCCTTCATCTTCCTAAGTCCTCACAATGGTGCACTGTGGAGTGTGATGGTTAATTTTCTCCCCGTCTCAATGTCAATGGAACCATCTCCATATGCCTTGGGCTCTCTCCTTCTGTCCACACAAATAATTCCCGCATTATCGATTGCTCCACAGGAGAAGAAGCCTATCAAAAGACATTACGGTCGATTTGATCACCCCTGTAGCGGAAGGGGAAATAGGCCTCACACTATGCCCACCCTTTCATGTGCCTTGTACAATACGTCTATGTCTGGTTGCTTTGTATTGCTATCTATCCCCTGTGAATTTCTGTTTCTGGAACATTGTTTTTGAAAACAATGAGGAGAATGGATATACTGTACGGTGGAGTGGATAGCAGGCGCTCCTCCTGGAGAGCTACTACTGGGTATGCAGGCTTTTGTTCCAGCTCGACACTTACACTCCGGATTCAGCTAATCAAGGTTCTGGGGAGTAGCTGATACAATCAGGTGTATTAAAGTAGGGTTGTATTAAAAGTCTGCATACCCAGCAGCTCTCCAGGAGGTTTGGTCTTTCCTGCGGTGCTGACTTATTTGTCATCGTGCCATTTAAAACAAAAACAGCTGTTATAGACATGCATGTGACTAGATTGCCCACCCCCATACTCACAGTTGACGGTGATAGCCAGGGGCTGGGAGGAGTTGTCGGTTGCCGTGGCATTGTCTGCGACACAGCGGTAGAGTCCCTGGTGGAAGTAGCTGTGGATGCTGCGGATGGACAGGAGCAGTTGGCCCGTCTCTCGCCTCAAGATAACACCAGGAATACACCGGTGGTACATGGCCTCCTCCTCCAGCCGATACCAATTATTCATGTACTGATTGGAGAGTAGGAGAGGAACAGTGAGAGAGAAACGGAGAGAGAGATTTACCTAATCTGCAAACAGCACAGTCATATGCAGGACTGGCACAGTGATAAGTGTAGTAGGGAGAATTATTACCTTTTTGGGCTGCACACATTGTGGTCATTTCTAATACAATAAAAATGATCAAGCTGAGTCCTGTCACACATAATTAAACATACTGCACTAACTGAAGTCGAGTTCAAGTAATGTTTTGATAGGTGCAGCGCCTCAACACGCTTTACTTCACATAGCACAGCAACAGAATTGGCAATCATATAACCAAATTAGAAGTAAAGTCAGGTAAAGTAGCCTGTGTCCTGACCTTGGAAAACTTCTCAAAGTGGACTTGGCTGGTGTTGAGCTCCGAGTCAGAAAACAGGCATTCCAGGGTGACTTCATCGTTCTCCAGAACAGGCTTGTCTGGTCCCTGTATGACCAGGGCCGCTAGACAGGACAGAGGAAGACACCAGAGATCAAATCAACCCCATCATCACACACTTTAGTTGTCCATGCTAGTTTATTATTTGGCTAATCTCATCCCATGGCTGGTAAACTAAAGTATTGTTTAGCCCTCTTATTGATAGACTAGGCTGTTGCAGCAGCTTACTATTTGAGTGACAAATAAATTGTTTTATTTTTATAGAAGCTCTTCTGTTTCCTTCTCTGTCTGGCTCAGACCGGACTGGCATTTAACCAAAGACAGCCATATGAACAACAGGTTTGTCTACTTGACTATAGATGTTGGTGATAAAAGGTTGGTAGGAGAACCCCTGCTGGACAAAGCGTTTTAGTGCAAAAACACACAGACCAACCACGCACTTACATTACTTGTCAGAGGAGCTGAACAACACGTTGAAAGCGCACCATTTCACGGGGATGACTGTGGTATTATCGATCCACACCATAGACAATGTTGAAGAAAAGCCATTGGTGACATGTTTTAGATTGTGAGAAAAAAACTAAAAGTGACTTAAATTGCTTTTCTCCACAGGCGTTGAGTCTCCAAGGTAAATCGAATCCCTTAAGTTGGATAGACGCACAGAGATTAATTTGGTTTGTCACACTTTCAATTTCGTATTCCAATAATTGGATTTCAGGGGAGTTCCGCTCTCAATGAATTATTGAATCTATTACAGACACACCCAGAGACGATATAACAAATATACATCTGCGTCGCCTGATTTTAGGCAGCACTTGAGATCGTTTCAACGCGACCAAATAAATCCTTGCAAAACCGAGAACAAAAATACTCTTTACCATAATATAATATACCAACCAAGATAATACACCATGTGGAGGCAATGAGATGAGTGTAAATTAAATCTGAGTGTTAGCCCTCATGTCAAGCCAACACAGCTGTCCTACAATATCTTGTAAAGTCAACTAACATGAACGGACAATGCTGAACAGTTCACATTTGCAATTTAATTAAAATGAATAAGTCTACATAAAATGTAAGTGTATAGAGAGAGTAGAATAAATGCACTCAGTTATTAAAGTAAATAAAATTATATTTACCAATACTGCTGTGAGCACGTGCAATTACTAAAATCGCAAAGAGTATAAAACCTCCCATGTTTGTTAGTGGATTCTGGGTATTGATGTGTAGTCCTACTCTGCTTCACTGTCTGTGTCGAAATACTGCAAATCCGTCTGACTGTCGAAAGGAATGTTTGGAACTGTATTTATTGATACTGGGAGAGGCGTGGCTTTCAGACGTTCCTTTCTTTCAAAGTTTGGAAACAAGCTTTTTTTTTGTATATAACTCTTTCTTTCCACGTGCCGAATGTTTTTATTAGTGTTTACTTTATTTAAGTTTGTTTTTAAATAACTATTCTCCACTGTTGTATGTATTAAGTAAAAACAAGACGTGTGTATATTGATAACAATTTGGAGTATACGTTCCAATTACCAAGCACTTGTTAGTGCGTCACTTGTCTCTGTGCAGTCAGGATGTTGATGTACAGTGTCACGCATGTCAGTGCTATCCGGGTTCATTGGGACGTCCCTACCCTAACCATAACACTTACCTAACATTTTACAATTCTACTTCAATGGTGTAGGGATGTCCCAAAGATCCCGGATAGCAGGACCTTGTCATGCATGGCTTTCCAACCCTGTTGCTGGAGAGCTACCCTCCTGTAATTTTTGCGCTCCAACCCCAGTTGTAACTAACCTGATTCAGTTTATCAACCAGATCAGCTAATTATTAGAATCAGGTGCGCTAGATTAGGGTTTGAGTGAAAACCTACAGGACGGTAGCTCACAAGGACCATGGTTGGAGCGTCCTACTGCTATCATAGAGAGCTATTTTGTCACACACAAGAGCATTTGCCATCTAGAGGTCAATTACCTATCATTAACCAAACCTGTCCAGACTTCAGGTGGGTCCGAAAATGGTTCCGTTTACACTTCATTACATATCATGACAAGCAGAAGGACGCTCTTTACGCATGTGGTGCCGTTTCTTTTTACCCATGTGGGCTGTTCTGCGTCGCCTGATTTTACGCAGCGCTTGAGATCGTTTCAGCGCGACCAAATAAACACTTGCAAACCCGAGAACAAAATCTCCTCTTTCCAATAGCTACTGCGAAATGCTGTTGTAGAGTTTCGAGGAAGCACACTTGAAACAGAGACTTTTCATGGACACATTTTGATCAGTCAAACTCCAAGAACGGCCGTCTCATATGCATTTCCTTTTTTCTGTTTCTGGCTAATTCTGCCATTTCTGTAGTGTCATCACTAGTGGCTTGTCATGCTATATGTCTGATATAAGATCTCCCAGATAATTGTACAAGCCTTGCCTGTTGTTGGGAATCCCAGCTGACTGACTGTGGTTTTAGTATCAGTTTATACCAGTTAGTAAACATCTGAGATACTCAGAAGGGCATCTTGGGTCAAAGAGGCTGGAGTGAAATTATCATTACAAAAGGCCCTATAGATGTTGTTTTTGCAATACCCTGAATTATGACTGAGGCAATAATTTACTGAAAACAGGTCTATGTGGAAAAACATATGGATATATAAAATGTATTTTGACAGGGAGTCATGCTGACACCAAGGTATCTTTTACAGATGAGCTCTGTATACATACACAATATACACATCAATTTACAAAATTATTCGCATCAATACACAAAAAAGCAAAAACACAATCATAGAAAACAAACACAATCTTCTGTAAAAAGATCCTCAATCAGCCTTTTGAACTGCCCTAGAGGCTACAGAATACCGAAGAAGGGAAGTTGGCCATACAGAAGTTTCAATAGTTTGTGTCTCGAAAAACAGACCCTAGGCAACAGTAGCATTTGAAAATTGTGGGAGGCAACACAGATGGTCTAGAGCGGTGGTTCCCAACCTTTTTCAGTAACTGTACCACCAACTGAATTGTGCTCTGCCTGGATTACCCCTGAAGCACAGGAGGTTGATGGCACCTTAATTGGGGAGGATAGGCTCGTGGTAATGGCTGGAGCGGAGTTGGTGGAATGGTATCAAATATATCAAACATTTGGTTTTCATGTTTTTGATACCGTTCCATTTACTCCATTCCGGCCATTATTATGAGCCGTTCTCCCCTCAGCAGCCTCCACTGATGAAGCACCCCCTCATGTGCATTTTACCAGTAGGCCTACAGTCTCATGACTCTTCTCAAGTACCCCCTGTGGATAGGCCAAGTACCCCCAGGGTCCTAGTACCCCTGGTTGGGAACCAGTGGTCTAGAGCAAGGGTGTCAAACTCATTCCATGGAGGGCCTAGTGTCTGCAGGTTTTTGGTTTTTCCTTTCAATTAAGCGTTTTCCTTTCAATTAAGAGTTCCTTACTAATTAGTGACCTTAATTCATAAATCAAGGACAAGGGAGGAGCGAAAACCCGCAGACACTCAGACCTCCGTGGAATGAGTTTGACAACTGTAGCCTATACAGACTAGTTTTAATGCCTGTGTTTCTGCTGCTATGCTTCTAAATGTCCACTAGGTGGCGAACTGAAGCAATAGAAAACAGGTCAACAAACCATGAGTCTCTGTGAAATTGTCCTGATAAAAAAAGACTATAGAAGAGCTCATCTTCCAACAGTGAAGATATTCATCCTCAATAAAATCACTAAACCACTAACGTATCAGTTGTCATGAAGTTTAGTGCAGTGTGGTTTATGAAGAAAAAAAAAACATGTACATTAATGATCTAATCTGAGATCAAAGGCACAATGAGCTATGCACAATGTGCTAAATAGATAAACTGATATACACAAGTATATACGGGCCTATAGACATACAATATCAGATTCTATTATTACAAAATATATATTACATAATGATGCTAAATACAGCATATCTTCTTCACTTCTGCACTTAAAATGTCATACATTTGAGATAACATTATCTGTGGATTTTGTCAAACCAGTTATAAAATATATATAATAATCCAAAGATCTCAAATATCTTTAGTAGCCTAATCATGGTACTTGTCTTTTTGACAAAGAGAAAATTGGACTCCCAAAACGTGAAAATCATTGTAAAAGACTTCCTTAGGCCTGGAGTACATCTTTTAAAGTGGAATTTCAAGATAATATCTCAAATATGTCATAGATCCCATTGATAGACACTTTATTTTTCCCTGTAGAATTCCCTTTCTCTTCTCGGACCTCCCTTCACCCCCATGCCTTTACTCCTCTGTGAGTCTCAAGCTTTCTGCCTCTTCTCACCTCTCAATTTTCCCATTCCACCTCTCCCATAGCCTTTGATCCAACAATCTACTGCATCAAACTTCAATCTACCACCTCTCTCTCTCATCTCTCACCCCTCCCCCTCAGTGTCTCCCAGGCCCTCCTTCTCTACCCCTTCTGTAGAGTAGTGCACCAGAGTTTGATGTCTGTTTCTGGAGGGAGCATCCCCAAAACGCAGCCCACAGTCCTCACAGGTATACAGCAGAGCCCTCCCTTCCCTGCTACTGCCTGGTTCTGCTCTCCTGGAGGGGATCTTTACACTGCTAGACTGGAACTGGGGCTCTTTGTCTGAGATTACAGTCAGACCTGACCCTGGAGGAGCAAGGAGAGACCCAGGGGGAAGGATTTTGGTGGGGGCAGGAGTAATGCTGGAGCTCACGTCAGTATGGGGGTTATTGCGTATCCTGGTTGGATTGGCACTGGGGCGTCCCACAGCAGCTGAGCTGCCTAGACTCTGTCTCCCGCTATGGGACCCACCGGCTCCTCCATCCCCGCCCATATCCGACACCATCCCATGGACGGTGCGCTGGTGGAAGCGGATGCCGGAGCAGTTGGAGAAGCCCTTCCCACAGAGGCTGCACACAAACGGCCGTTCCCCGGTGTGGATCCTTGTGTGGATCTTCAGTGCCCCCGACTGGGTGAAGCACTTCCCACACTGGGTGCAGCGGTAGGGCTTCTCCCCTGTGTGGGTCCTTTGATGGGCCCGGACCCCGGCCAGGTGGGGGAAGCCTCTCCCACAGTAGGCGCAGGCGTAGGGTCTCTCCCCAGTGTGGAGGCGCCGATGGATCTTCAACGCTCCTGACTGGCTGAAGCTCTTGCCGCAGTCAGGGCATGAGTAGGGCCGGGCACCGGTGTGTACGTTGAGGTGGATGCGGAGGTTGGAGTGGGAGTTGAAGGCGCGCCCGCACTCGGTGCACAGGAAGCCACCGGCCTTGTGAGCGTGCTGGGTGCGCTGGTGCTGTAGCAGCTGAGAGGGTCGGGGGAAGGATGCTGAACAGTGCATGCAGGGGTGTAGGGTGGGGGACACTGTGGTCACCCCTACAACATGGTTCTGAGGGTGTGTGTGGCCCTGCTGGTGGCGGAGGAGCTGGGAACAGGAGGGGAAGGAATGCTGGCAGGACAGGCAGGGGAAGGTGCCAGGCGACAGGCCATAGTGGGAGTGGTAGTGGGGCAGGCAGGTGGTGAGGGGGCAGTGGTGGTGGTAGTGGGTGTGTGTCTGGGAGAAGGGAGAGTCTGCTGCCCCCTGTTGGTGGTGCAGTAGCTGGGTGCAGGTCTGGAAGCCCCGGTGGCAGCAGAAACAAGAGAAGGTGGAGATTTGGGGCAGGGGGCTTGGTGAAGAAGTACCCTGGTTAGTGAGAGTGATAGGGGCTAGATTGGGGCTCTGGGTGCTGGTCTCCTTGTCCTGACTCTGGGGCTGACTGAGCTCTGGGCTGTAAGTGCTGCTGGGCTCGGGCTGTGAGGACACAGTTCCTCTGGGCTTTATGGTCTGGAAGGAGGAAGATGAGGATGAGGAGGAATAGGGGCAGCCAGGGCAAGTGCAGGTATGGTGCTGGCCTGTGTACGAGTGGGGGAAATATAAAACCAAGAAAATAAATTTATTATAAAGCCAGACTAGCCATTACCTATGAAAACAAAAGCTGTTTCCCTAGTATTCCCTGTCCTTTCCTATTACTCCACAATGTTCTCCACTCACCTTTTTGTCCACTGATGTCTCCGTCTCTGGCCTCTCTAATGCACTCTCCCTGGGTCTGTCTGGGCTGGGCTGAACCTGGAGCGTCTTTTAGCCCCAGAGACCCCCCAGAGACCATCAGGTCTCCAATGAACTGGTGCATCTCTAACCAGGAGCATGGATCATGCTGGGTGGGGGAAATGAAGAGAGGAGGGAGGGTAGGTGTCAATTGTAACTAGCAATGTTATTGCTTATACTACAACATAATATTGAATTTGTGACCTACTTATACATTAGCAATTTTTTAAACATCAGTTTAACAAATAAACAATATTCTCACTTCTTCAAAATATGAATTTTATTGACAGGCCTATATACTTACGCTCACAGCGAACTTGTCTTTGTCCATGTAGAATAATAACAGTGTACAGTTATAGGACGTTTTTGCCGTCTGTTCCGTTTCATCAGCCTACATTGCTCAAAGCAGAGAAAGGAATTTGCGGTACGTAACCGAACGGTCTTCCGATCGAGAATTAAAAGGGATATTTATTGCAAGCTGTTGTGTGTTCTAACGACGGCCACATTTCCCTACTTCTGCTATGATCTTCGCCGGATTTCCCAGACAAATTATTTCCGGGCCTTCTTACCATGTGACATGTAGTCTTTTTCTTCCACCGAGCTCTTCGCTGTGCGCATTAGCACTATCCAACTGGCTCGAGGAGGTAGGCCTATATAATTATAGACCTACCTAGCCAAGTGCATAATTTATTAACATTTAAAAATGCAACACTGGAATTATAATGCTTACTGTATTTGCCATTTTGACCATTAATTACAACGCTTTGGTTAATTGTTAGGTTCTGTTATATGAAGATTTATATCAGTGTGTTTACAATTAGATACACAAACACTTACCATAGTGACTTCCCATGCTTCCTCTCCAGTGTTCTGTTTAGGTAAATGAAAGAAGGCTTTCCAAGAAAACCCCTCCATACCATCGCGATACATTGATCTTTATTTGTATCCTTGAAGAAGATCCCAATTTCAGAACAGAATGTTCTAAAACGCTACAACCGTTCAGTTGAAGTTGGGGTAAGACATTCAACGTGATAGAAAAAGATACACAAACCAATTTAACATTAAAATTGGTCGGCACATATTTTCTTGCATATTATACCCATTATGGAACTCAAATCAAACAAAAACCGATCTGTTGAGAAACATTTCTCAGAAAGTTGACAGTACATTAAATCATGGCTCCCAAACACTCCCCATCAGTACCTGAATAAGAAACATTGGCGACTGAAGTCCCATACAGCAGCTTATATAGAGTAGAAACAACACAAATTACAATGACATTAAATTGAAGACTAACTAGACAACATACAACCCAAATAAGTTATGTTGGTATAGTCAAATAGATATGGAGTGTTTGGAAAGGTGTGCGGTAACACTGGAAGAAGTGCATGATCCTATTGCCAACATACAAAACTACTGTAATATAGAAAACAATAGCCACTATTTACTCTAAGCTCAATCTCTCACCACACCGGAAGCGGCTAACAACGAGGATTGTTAGCTAGCTCACTAAGCACTAGCAGGTACATTAAACATAGTATGTTTTAAATAGCTAACAAAAAATATTTGTAATACAGGAAAGCAACCAAATCCAGAGGGCAAACTAATGTAGAGAGGCACGGTATAGAAAAATCACCACTAATCCGTTGCTATTATAATTTAATAACAAGCCTAGTATAACTTGTTTTACAGTAGGGTTGGTTATGTTTTCCTCTGGCCCTTAAAAGGCAGCCTAATTAACATTGTCGTCAGCAATCCTATTTTTCACTCTGTCTAAAGTACTGCAGTTATAATAAACAGTCATGCAGGGCTCTAGGCTTTTCCCTTGCCCTTAGTGACCTTCGTCTTTTACATGGTGGTGAGAAGGGAGGAGAAGGGATGGGAGAGGAGGGGAGCTGTTTTTCTGGGCTATGGGCTGTGGGTTCATCAACAGGGGCATCAGACTCCTCCGTTCCACCCTTCTCTTTCCTCTCCTCCGATCCACCCTTCTCTTTCCTCTCCTCCAATCCATCCTTATCCACTTTCCTCTCCTCTGCTGCTCCATCCTTCTCACCACCCTCAAGCTCCTCCTCAACATGGCCTACTTCCACATTCCTCTCCTCTGCTTTCTCAGCTGCATCATGAGTGGCTAGGTTCCCTCCATTCAACCTCAAGTCGAGCACACAGCCTGGGGTGCCCCCATCCCATCTCAAGTCCAGCCCCACGTCTGGCTCCGTCTTCCTCTTCAATGCTGTCAGACTGCTGGACGAACAGAAGTCTGAGCTCTGTGTTCCACTGTCAGCCTCTAGACACAGTGGTTCCTGCTTTATCTGGACTAAGCCCCGAGGCATTTTGGAGTGCAAAGAGCTGACTGACTCGATTTTCAGCTGATTCACTGGATCCACTTCGGCAGTGTTCTTCAAAGGTTCTGTTTGCTTGACAGTTAAGAGCCGCAGTGTTGACGGGACTCCCGGCTTTGGTGCCTTCTTCATTTGAGACGGAGCTGTTCCATCATCTCTGCAGTCATTCTGCCAGTCTTCATCTCCACTCCCTTCTCTGTTTTCCCCCTTCTGAACCATAGCCTCCATGTTATAATCCTCCCCTGGCTCCCTCTTACTCTGAAAGACTAGCCCCTTCTTATCACCTCTTAAACTCGTGAATTCTTCTTCCTCAGTCTCCTCTGCAAACTCAGGGTCTCTCGGTTCAGTCTTGACTACAAGGTTAGCAGGAGGAGTGGAGCAAGTCGACTTGTTAGACAGATCAAGAGGTAGTATATTAGCAGGCTCCTGTTTGTAGTCAGCTGTCTTTAAGGCCAGATCCAGTGGGGCATCAGAGGAGTAGCGCCGGTTTGCCCCTGCTATGAGGCTCAGACCCGGCTCAGAGGTGAAGCTGGACTGGCCCAGCACCGGAGGAGGGGCTCCTGGATTTGGTGCTGGGTTGAGTACCTTCCACTGGGGCTGGGTGCCTGAGAGGGCTGGAAGCTGGGGGGTAGAGGATGGGCCAGAGAGGCCAGAGGCCAGAGGGGTGTTGGCAGGGACAAACATGACCAAGGACACCCCAGGAGGTGGCTGTTTGTCCAGGCTGAGCTTCCACAGCCCCTTGGTGGGTTGGTCAGGGCTCACCACGCGGACAGTAGTGGTGTTAGAGACTTTAACAGGGACTCCCATAGTGACTCTGGCAGGGGCAGAGCCTGGCATTCTCATCAGAGTAGGAAGTGGTGCTGACGCTTGTCTCTCTGGTTTCTTCACAGGAGCAGGGAGAGGGAGATCCCTTGGAGCGAGCTGGGGTAGGGGTTTGGAAGGAGCAGCAGGGGCGTCCTTCCGTGGTTTCTTCGGAGCCATCTGCACAAAGAGAGAGTTACAACAGTGAACAGAGAGCTACTTGTACCTGTCTATATCCAATCCAACTTAAATCTAAATAATATTAAAATATTGTTCTTTTTAAGAGCCATAGAAAGTGACAAACATATCAGTATATTTCAACAGTCCTTGAGGACCACTCACCACAGGAGGGGGTTTGCGTCCACAGTCCTTGAGGTGGCTCTCGTAACCCTGCTGGTGAGGGAAGCCCAGGCCGCAGTTCTTACACAGACAGGGCCTCGACCCTGCGTGGCCCCCCATGTGTGACATCAGCATCAAGGCCGAGCGGAAGCCCTTGCCGCACTCGGAGCAAGTCATCACCCTCTGGTGAGCCCCGGCGTGCTTCTTCAGCTCGTCAGCCGTGGAGAAGGACTGGCCACACTCCATACAGCGGATCTCATCTCCCTTGGTCCCCTGCTGGCCCCAGCAGCCTGTCTCCCTCTTGTGCCTCTGGAAGTCGTTTTGGCTGTGGAAGACGCCCAGGCAGGCCACGCAGTGGAGCCACTCCGGCTCACACTCGTGCTTACGGTAGAGTCTGGCCAGGCGGAAATGGCGGCGGCACTGGATGCAGGTGTAAGGCAGCAGGCCAAGGTGGGAGAAGCTGTGCTTGAGGAGGGCATTCTTGCGGCTGAAGCTCAGGGAGCAGTCAGTGCAGCGATAGCTGCGGACACACCCCCGCTCCTTGTGGCGGCGGAGAGAGCGGCGCAGGCGGAAGCGGCGGCAGCACTGCAGACACACGTGGCCAGCCAGCTCACGCTTGTGCTCCTCCAGGTGCTCCTCACACTTGGTCAGGCAGGTGAAGACACGCTTGCATGCGTCACACTCATAGAACTCCTTCTCAAAGTGGGACTTGGCTAGGTGGTCCTTTAAACCCTGCTCAGAATCAAAGCCCTTCAGGCAAACGCGGCAGCGGAGTTGTACAAGTGGGCCTGAGGTCTGGGGCTGGGCGTGGGTCCGCAGGTGGGAGCGGTAGTTGGCCAGCTGACAGAAGCGCTTGCCACACTCGGCGCAGCAGTAGGGGCGTGCCCCTGTGTGCAGGTTCATGTGCTCCTGGAGCTGGAAGCTGGAGGAGAGGACGAGGTCACAGACGCTACAGTTGTGTTCGCCTGAACCTCCAGGCTCTGCTTCTGAAAGGTAGAGGGAGAAGGGAGTTAAAGGAAATTGGATGATATTTGGATGAAACCAGATCAAAGTAGGTTGACTAAAGTATGAAAAATGACTGTTGCTTCTAAAAAAATAAATAAAGGTCTCCTGATGTGTCTTAAGCATTGTTGTGGACTTAAAACATCAGATTTTAGTCATTGAACCAAAAAAAAAAAAAGTGTGATTGAGAGTGGAAATCTATAAATTCTGTAGTAAAACATAAGATTTCACACAGGCCGCATTTCCTCCGGTGGGTGGGCCGTTTGGAAAGATTTTGGCAAAATTTGAGTATACCCACTACTCCAAGCAGCACTACACCACTGCATACAGTGGGGAAAGAAAGTATTTAGTCAGCCACCAATTGTGCAAGTTCTCCCACTTAAAAGATGAGAGAGGCCTGTAATTTTCATCACAGGTACACGTCAACTATGACAGACAAAATTATGAAAAGAAATCCAGAAAATCACATTGTAGGATTTTCTAATGAATTTATTTGCAAATTATGGTGGAAAATAAGTATTTGGTCAATAACAAAAAGTTTCTCAATACTTTGTTATATACCCTTTGTTGGCAATGACACAGGTCAAACGTTTTCTGTGAGTCTTCACAAGGTTTTCACACACTGTTGCTGGTATTTTGGCCCATTCCTCCATGCAGATCTCCTCTAGAGCAGTGATGTTTTGGGGCTGTCGCTGGGCAACACGGACTTTCAACTCCCTCCAAAGATTTTCTATGGGGTTGAGATCTGGAGACTGGCTAGGCCACTCCAGGACCTTGAAATGCTTCTTACGAAGCCACTCCTTCGTTGCCCGGGCGGTGTGTTTGGGATCATTGTCATGCTGAAAGACCCAGCCACATTTCATCTTCAATGCCCTTGTTGATGGAAGGAGGTTTTCACTAAAAATCTCACGATACATGGCCCCATTCATTCTTTCCTTTACACGGATCAGTCGTCCTGGTCCCTTTGCAGAATAACAGCCCCAAAGCATGATGTTTCCATCCCCATGCTTCACAGTAGGTATGGTGTTCTTTGGATGCAACTCAGCATTCTTTGTCCTCCAAACACGACGAGTTGAGTTTTTACCAAAAAGTTCTATTTTGGTTTCATCTGACCATATGACATTCTCCCAATCCTCTTCTGGATCATCCAAATGCACTCTAGCAAACTTCAGACGGGCCTCGACATGTACTGGCTTAAGCAGGGGGACACGTCTAGCACTGCAGGATTTGAGTCCCTGGCGGCGTAGTGTGTTACTGATGGTAGGCTTTGTTACTTTGGTCCCAGCTCTCTGCAGGTCATTCACTAGGTCCCCCCGTGTGGTTCTGGGATTTTTGCTCACCGTTCTTGTGATCATTTTGACCCCACGGGGTGAGATATTGCGTGGAGCCCCAGATCGAGGGAGATTATCAGTGGTCTTGTATGTCTTCCATTTCCTAATAATTGCTCCCACAGTTGATTTCTTCAAACCAAGCTGCTTACCTATTGCAGAGTCAGTCTTCCCAGCCTGGTGCAGGTCTACAATTTTGTTTCTGGTGTCCTTTGACAGCTCTTTGGTCTTGGCCATAGTGGAGTTTGGAGTGTGACTGTTTGAGGTTGTGGACAGGTGTCTTTTATACTGATAACAAGTTCAAACAGGTGCCATTAATACAGGTAACAAGTGGAGGACAGAGGAGCCTCTTAAAGAAGAAGTTACAGGTCTGTGAGAGCCAGAAATCTTGCTTGTTTGTAGGTGACCAAATACTTATTTTCCACCATAATTTGCAAATAAATTCATTAAAAATCCTACAATGTGATTTTCTGGATTTTTTTCTCTCAATTTGTCTGTCATAGTTGACGTGTACCTATGATGAAAATTACAGGCCTCTCTCATCTTTCTAAGTGGGAGAACTTGCACAATTGGTGGCTGACTAAATACTTTTTTCCCCCACTGTAGGTCTGATGGAAAGACAGCAGTCACACACAGCATGATGTTAAGCAGTCCATTCACTCGAACACAATAAGCCAGTAGGTCCCAATCATAAGAATACAAAACACAACCATTAGGCAATATTAATGCCAATGATTTTGGAATGAGATGTACGACAAGCAGGTGTCCACATACTTTTGGTAATGTAGTGTAATATATATACAGTGGGGGAAAAAAGTATTTAGTTAGCCACCAATTGTGCAAGTTCTCCCACTTAAAAAGATGAGAGAGGCCTGTAATTTTCATCATAGGTACACGTCAACTATGACAGACAAAATGCGAATTTTCCAGAAAATCACATTGTAGGATTTTTAATGAATTTATTTGCAAATTATGGTGGAAAATAAGTATTTGGTCAATAACAAAAGTTTCTCAATACTTTGTTATATACCCTTTGTTGGCAATTACACAGGTCAAACGTTTTCTGTAAGTCTTCACAAGGTTTTCACACACTGTTGCTGGTATTTTGGTCCATTCCTTCATGCAGATCTCCTCTAGAGCAGTGATGTTTTGGGGCTGTCGCTGGGCAACACAGACTTTCAACTCCCTCCAAAGATTTTCTATGGGGTTGAGATCTGGAGACTGGCTAGGCCACTCCAGGACCTTGAAATGCTTCTTACGAAGCCACTCCTTCGTTGCCCGGGCGGTGTGTTTGGGATCATTGTCATGCTGAAAGACCCAGCCACGTTTCATCTTCAATGCCCCTGCTGATGGAAGGAGGTTTTCACTCAAAATCTCACGATACATGGCCCCATTCATTCTTTCCTTTACACGGATCAGTCGTCCTGGTCCCTTTGCAGAAAAACAGCCCCAAAGCATGATGTTTCCACCCCCATGCTTCACAGTAGGTATGGTGTTCTTTGGATGCAACTCAGCATTCTTTGTCCTCCAAACATGACGAGTTGAGTTTTTACCAAAAAGTTATATTTTGGTTTCATCTGACCATATGACATTCTCCCAATCCTCTTCTGGATCATCCAAATGCACTCTAGCAAACTTCAGACGGGCCTGGACATGTACTGGCTTAAGCAGGGGGATACGTCTGTCACTGCAGGATTTGAGTCCCTGGCGGCGTAGTGTGTTACTGATGGTAGGCTTTGTTACTTTGGTCCCAGCTCTCTGCAGGTCATTCACTAGGTCCCCCCGTGTGGTTCTGGGAATTTTGCTCACCGTTCTTGTGATCATTTTGACCCCACGGGGTGAGATCTTGCGTGGAGCCCCAGATCGAGGGAGATTATCAGTGGTCTTGTATGTCTTCCATTTCCTAATAATTGCTCCCACAGTTGATTTCTTCAAACCAAGCTGCTTACCTATTGCAGATTCAGTCTTCCCAGCCTGGTGCAGGTCTACAATTTTGTTTCTGGTGTCCTTTGACAGCTCTTTGGTCTTGGCCATAGTGGAGTTTGGAGTGTGACTGTTTAAGGTTGTGGACAGGTGTCTTTTATACTGATAACAAGTTCAAACAGGTGCCATTAATACAGGTAACGAGTGGAGGACAGAGGAGCCTCTTAAAGAAGAAGTTACAGGTCTGTGAGAGCCAGAAATCTTGCTTGTTTGTAGGTGACCAAATACTTATTTTCCACCATAATTTGCAAATAAATTCATTAAAAATCCTACAATGTGGTTTTCTGGAGAAAAAAAATCTCAATTTGTCTGTCATAGTTGACGTGTACCTATGATGAAAATTACAGGCCTCTCTCATCTTTTTAAGTGGGAGTTCTTGCACAATTGGTGGCTGACTAAATACTTTTTTTCCCCACTGTATATATACAGTTGAAGTCAGAAGTTTACATACACTTAGGTTGGAGTCATTAAAACGTGTTTTTCAACCACTCCACAAATTTCTTGTTAACAAACTATAGCTTTGGCAAGTCGGTTAGGACATCTACTTTGTGCATGACACAAGTAATTTTTCCAACAATTGTTTACAGACAGATTATTTCACTGTATCACAATTCCATTGGGTCAGAAGTTTACATACACTAAGTTGACTGTGCCTTTAAACAGCTTGGAAAATTCCAGAAAATGATGTCATGGCTTTAGAAGCTTCTGATAGGCTAATTGACATCATTTGAGTCAATTGGAGGTGTACCTGTGGATGTATTTCAAGGCCTACCTTCAAACTCAGGGCCTCTTTGCTTGACATCATGGGAAAATCAAAAGAAATCAGTCAAGACCTCAGAAAATAAATTGTAGACCTCCACAAGTCCGGTTCACCCTTGGGAGCAATTTCCAAAAGCCTGAAGGTACCACGTTCATCTGTACAAACAATAGTACGCAAGTATAAACACCATGGGACCACGCAGCCGTCATATCGCTCAGGAAGGAGACGCGTTCTGTCTCCTTGAGATGAACGTATTTGGTGCGAAAAGTGCAATGACCTAAGACTAGGGAAGTTTTACTAGGATTAAATGTCAGGAATTGTGAAAAACTGAGTTTAAACGTATTTGGCTAAGGTGTATGTAAACTTCAGACTTCAACTATATACAGTTGAAGTCTGAAGTTTACATACACCTTAGCCAAATACGTTTAAACTCAGTTTTTCACAATTCCTGACATTTAATCCTAGTAAAAATGCCCTAGTCTTAGGTCAGTTAGGATCACCACTTTATTTTAAGAATGTGAAATGTCAGAATAATAGTAGAGTTATTTATTTCAGATTTTATTTATTTCATTACATTCCCAGTGGGTCAGAAGTTTACATACACTCAATTAGTATTTGGCAGCATTGCCTTTAAATTGTTTAACTTGGATCAAACATTTCGGGTAGCCTTCCACAAGCTTCCCACAATAAGTTGTGTGAATTTTGGCCCATTCCTCCTGACAGAGCTGGTGTAACTGAGTCAGGTTTGTAGGGCTCCTTGCTCGCACATGCTTTTAAAGTTCTGCCCACACAATTTCTATAGGATTGAGGTCAGGGCTTTGTGATGGCCACTCCAATACCTTGACTTTGTTGTCCTTAAGCCATTTTGCCACAACTTTGGAAGTATGCTTGGGGTCATTGTCCATTTGGAAGACCCATTTGCGACCAAGCTTTAACTTCCTAACTGATGTCTTGAGATGTTGCTTCAATATATCCACATAATTTTCCTTCCTCATGATGCCATCTAGTTTGTGAAGTGCACCAGTCCCTCCTGCAGCAAAGCACCCCCACAGCATGATGCTGCCACCCCCATGCTTCACAGTTGGGATGGTGTTCTTCGGCTTGCAAGGTCCCCCTTTTTCCTCCAAACATAATGATGGACATTATGACCAAACAGTCCTATTTTTGTTTCATCAGACTAGAGGACATTTCTCCAAAAAGTACGATCTTTGTCCCCATGTGTTGCAAACCGTAGTCTGGCTTTTTTATGGTGGTTTTGGAGCAGTGGCTTCTTCCTTGCTGAGCGGCCTTTCAGGTTATGTCGATATAGGACTCGTTTTACTGTGGATATAGATACTTTTGTACCTGTTTCCTCCAGCATCTTCACAAGGTCCTTTGCTGTTGTTCTGGGGTTGATTTGCACTTTTCTCACCAAAGTACTTTCATCTCTAGGAGACAGAACGCGTCTCCTTCCTGAGCGTATGATGGCTGCGTGGTCCCATGGTGTTTATACTTAAGTACTATTGTTTGTACAGATGAACGTGGTACCTTCAGGCGTTTGGAAATTGCTCCCAAGGATGAACCAGACTTGTGGAGGTCTACAATCTTTTTTCTGAGGTCTTGGCTGATTTCTTTTGATTTTCCCATGATGTCAAGCAAAGAGGCACTGAGTTTGAAGGTAGGCCTTGAAATACATCCACAGGTACACCTCCAATTGACTCAAATGATGTCAATTAGTCTATCAGAAGCTTCTAAAGCCATGACATCATTTTCTGGAATTTTCCAAACTGTTTAAAAGGCACAGTCAACTTAATGTATGTAAACTTCTGACCCACTGGGATTGTGATACAGTGAATTATAAGTGAAATAATCTGTCTGTAAACAATTGTTGGAAAAATTACTTGTGTCATGGACAAAGTAGATGTCCTAACCGACTTGCCAAAACTATAGTTTGTTAACAAGAAATCTGTGGACTAGTTGAAAAACGAGTTTTAATGACTCCAACCTAACTGTATGTAAACTTCCGACTTCAACTTTATGTATGTATGTGTGTATATATATAGTTCCATTCGAAAGTTTCAGAACACCTACTCATTCAAGGGTTTTTCTTATTTTTACTGTTTTCTACATTGTAGAATAATAGCGAAGACATCAAAACTATGAAATAACACATATGGAATCATGTAGTAATCAAAAAAGTGTTAAACGAATCAAAATATATTTTATATTTGAGATTCTTGAAAATAGCCACCCTTTGCCTTGATGACAGCTTTGTACACTCTTGGCATTCTCTCAACCAGCTTCACCTGGAATTCTTTTCCAACAGTCTTGAAGGAGTTCCCACATATGCTGATCACTTGTTGGCTGCTTTTCCTTCACTCTGCGGTCCGACTCATCCCAAACCATCTCAATTTGGTTGAGGTCGGGGGATTGTGGAGGCCAGGTCATCTGATGCAGCACTCCATCACTCTCCTTCTTGGTAAAATAGCCCTTACACAGCCTGGAGGTGTGTTGGGTCATTGTCCTGTTGAAAAACAAATGATAGTCCCACTAAGCCCAAGCCAGAAGGAGTGGCGTATCACTGCAGAATGCTGAGGTAGCCATGCTGGTTAAGTCTACCTTGTATTTTAAATAAATCACAGACAGTTTCACCAGCAAAGCACCCCCACACCATAACACCTCCTCCTCTATGCTTTACTGGGGGGAAATACACATGCGGAGATCATTAGTTCACCCACACCGCGTCTCACAAAGACATGTCGGTTGGAACCAAAAATCTCACATTTGGACTCCAGACCAAAGGACACATTTCCCCCAGTCTAATGTCCATTGCTCGTGTTTCTTGACCCAAGCAAGTCTCTTCTTATTATTGGTGTCCTTCAGTAGTGGTTTCTTTGCAGCAATTCAACCATGAATTCCTCTGAACAGTTGATGTTGAGATGTGTATGTTACTTGAACTCTATGAAGCATTTATTTGGGCTGCAATTTCTGAGGCTGGTAACTCTAATGAACTTACCCTCTGCAGCAGAGGTAACTCTGGGTCTTCCATTCCTGTGGCGGTCCTCATGAGGGCCAGTTTCATCATAGCGCTTGATAGGTTTTGCGACTGCACTTGAAGAAACGTTCAAAGTTCTTGACATTTTCCGTATTGACTGACCTTCAAGTCTTAAAGTAATGATGGACTGTCGTTTCTCTTTGCTTATTTGAGCTGTTCTTGCCATAATATGGACTTGGTCTTTTACCAAATAGGGCTATCTTCTGTATACACCCCCACCTTGTCACAACACAACTGATTGGCTCAAACGCATTAAGAAGGGAAGAAATTCCACAAATTAACTTTTAACAAGGCACACCTGTTAATTGAAATGCATTCCAGGTGACTACCTCATGCAGCTGGTTGAGAGAATGCAAAGCGTGTGCAAAGCTGTCATCAAGGCAAAGAGTGGCTATTTAAAGAATCTCAAATATAAAATATATTTTGATTTGGTTAAAACTTGTTTGGTTACTACATGATTCCATATGTGTTATTTTATAGTTTTGATATCTTCACTATTATTCTACAATGTAGAAAATAGTAAAAATAAAGAAAAACCCTTGAATGAGTAGGTGTTCTTTAACAGATGTGAACTTACAACCGCTTTAAGCTAAAAAAAATGTTGTTTGACAATAAGTTATTATGATTTGAGCTGTAGCCTACCTGGGTCAAGTTCCTCCTCCTCCTCTTCCTCTTCCTCATCTTCCTCATTCTCAGAAACCTCACTGTCATCAGTTTCCTCAGAATCCTCCTCTAAACTCTTTGCAACTCCTGCTTCTTTCTTTTTTGGTCCTTGCTCTTTCCCATCATCATCGCAAACACCTTTCCCTCCATTTCTCCCTCCTATTCCCTCTCCAATTTTTTCTCCTGGTTCTTCTTCCTCAGCGACCGCCCTTACTCGCTTCCCTGTGTTTACAGGTTTTGGAGGAGTCTGAAACATAGCAGTCTGGTCTGCCAGTGGCAGCTTGGAATCATTCTTAATTGTTCTTAAGTGTTCAACAGGGGAAGTGGAAGGAGCTGGTACAGCAGTCAACGCAGTCCCAGCTCCAACACGAGACACAGATATCAGGACAGTTTTAGTTATTTTGGGGGTTTGGTAAAGGCTATTGCTTTGACCACTTGCTAAACTCTTGGGTAGCAATATGGGAGTAACAGGCCGTGAAGTGTGTGCCACTGCCACCGGTTTGTTTGTAGAAGGAGAGGGTGGGCAGAGTATTGTCAGTGTCTCAGGGGGCCCAGAGGGACTTGGGGTTACTGTAATGTGAGGGCCAGTCTGTGAGGCAACCTGCTGTACTGTAGAAGCAGTATGTGAGGCCAGCTGATCAACACCAACCGGTTCTGGGTCCACAGCTGTGGGGGTGAGTGCAGCAGGAAGAGGAGGCGAGGAACTGGGGGTTTGGAGGTTGGCCAGGGGTCCAGGGGAGATATTGTTAGAGGACGAAGGCGATGGTGTCTCCTTCACACAGGTCGTTTCTCTGGGCTGCAAGATGTCAGGGAACCCTAGTTCTGTCAGCTGGATATCAATGGTGAAGTCTGACATGGTGGCTGTGAGACAAACACAATCTTATAAACACAATCCATTTTTGTCATTCTCTAATGCCACCATTTCAGGATCAGGACAAATGCCATCATAATTGTCTACAGTAAGACCAGACCATAATACAATTCCAATGTCACTAAAAGTAACTGCCATTACAAAACAAAATGTTGAATGCTTTTATGCTAATGTTGACAGAAAACAGTTAAGACAATTTATTATGTCTGACACTGATTCTGAAAGATAGAAAAAGTAGCTAGGCATATTCAAGTAAGTGCAGTGAGCGAGCTGAATAGATGAATACACTGACTGTGACGGCAACATTCACCATTTCAACTTTGAATTATAGCTAACTAACGGTAGCTAGTTATTTAGCCAACCTAATTAAGATCACAATGTGCAAAAATGCCCCACGTCAATAAAAACTACCTAACTACTATAACTATCGACAGAATAAGCAGGTAAATTATGACGATATAAGGACTTCCGCAGCTCACCTCAGTTCTGATTGCAACAGTGAAGATGGCTAATTTTCAGAGGCTCCACCTGGACAGAAACACCTTGTGGCCATGGAGGCATGCGCTCTTCATTGTCCGGAAAGTATCCAGAAACGATCTTATTTGACTGATCTGTGATACTGTATAACGCTTGTTGCACAAGGTTACTATCTAGCCTAATTACTGATTTAAACGTATGTTTAATTTATTTTATAACACTATTTGTTGTAATTGAATCACTCACAAACCGCGACCGATCTGCTTCCGTCTTCTACAACAGTGGGACAAAAACATCAGGACCTTTACACACTTAATGACGCCTACTGTCGTGGAAGGATACTACAACAACAAATTATATTTGACATTTGACTCATTAAGCAGACGCTACTATCCAGAGCGATTTACAGGAGAAATTAGGGTTAAGTGCCTTGCTCAAGGGCACATTGCCACATGTTTTACCTAGTAGGTCCGGGATTCGAACCAGCGACTTTCAGTTACTGGACAACACTCTTAGTCGCTAGGCTACATGCCTGGCCTTTGCATGGAACTTTGCACTGAGTGTGAAAATGCATAAAACTACAGGGGGGAAATTTATTGTCAGAACATTGTTTATTTTGGGATGTGTATATAAAATTATTTCACATATTTTCAACATATTTTTTCAAAAGTATGTGCCTCCTGTTTTGTGAACAAAAAATTCAGATTATGAGATGACTAGGCAGTCCTGACAAGACTATGCATAAGGGGATTCTGCGCCTGAACGATCCTTACTCTGCAGCCCCTCCTCATTGCTGGAGTGTAATGAAGAGTCACTGTGATGATGAGAGTGGTGGAGTTATCTCCAAGGTCTGGAAGGTGGCACCTGAACTCTCCCTCTGTGGGTTTGTTGAGTTTGCCAAGTGTGCTGCCTGAGCTGCTGCCTGAGCCATTGCCTTCTCTATGGCCCTCCAGGCATTGCTGCAGAGGTTCTGGCTCTTGTGCTTGCAGAACAGATGATGGCTGCCGAAATAGTCCCCCACAGGTGATACACTGGACCAGCCGAGGGTTGCACTTGTGTTTGTGGAGCACGCCAGGTGACCAGAACTCACGAGAGCAGGCCTGGCAGACATGAGTAGGTTTGGGGCGGGTGTAGGGTTTCAGCAGCATGTGAGCAACACCTTTAGGCCGGCCTGGGCCACATTTGGAGAGGGCAGGTCGAGGATGGCAAGGCAGAGCTAAGCTGTGCATGTTGACCTGGTGTCTGATGAGGAGAATGCCATTCTTGAATATGCGGCAACACATGTTGCATGGATGACGATGCCTTTCCTTGACATGATGGTGCAGCAGAATAGGCAGAGCAAACGTTTCTTGGCAGAATCGGCACAGCAAGGGACCCGGGGACACCACATCAGGCTCAGGGGTCTGGAAGACACTCTGGCTTGCCTCCAGGGATGGTGGAAAGGAGAACGAGGAGTAGCCCAGATCTATGGCGTCAGGAGAGGGGAGCTGAGGTGGACTATCCCAGGTGGGCTCAGCAGTCGTCTGGCTCAGGTTTGGTTCCATGTCAAGGGACAGGTCCAGAACAGGATCCCTATGGACCACAGGGCACTGAGCACAGAAGGATGAATTTCTAAGGGAATCTCTCCAGCCACAGTTATGGCAGTAGATCTTCTTTGGAATCAGGTCTAATGCCTCCTCCTCAGGAGATGCAGAGGATTGTGGAGCAGTGGGATATCCTGGTAGAAAGAACAATTAAAACAAATATATATATATGACTAACGACAAGGACATCAAATCAGCAAAACAAAATTATGGAACAAGCGGATCATACTGGGCATTCATTAAATTATTATGTGCAAGTCCCTGGCATAGAGAGCTGTACAATAAAGATACAAAATACCTGTAAGATCAAACCCAGGTCTCCCTTTGTTTTTTGGTGGCATCTCTAAATGTATCCAGCCTTCAGGTCGAATAAGATATTGAAGCTGGGTGATTGAGAACAGGTGAAACGGGACCAAATGAATCAGGTGAGATCAAATGGATAAGCAAGTTCAATAAATTATAGGTTAATAGCTACATGTTTCTATAATAAGAAGTGGTTCCAATATAATAAAGACAGTAACTATGTGTGTAGTAAACTATTTTACAATCAGCAAGCTCAAGATACTTTAAGCTTAGATTCGTTTTGATTATGCAAAAGGCATTGGCCAAAACTCAGTCAGTAATTTTATTTTAGAAACGCAATACCTTATTTTAAACAGCAGAGGGTGTAGTAAACTAAATTATGTTCATCTTGTTGTCGGTACAGGGCATCTGCTGTTGTCCTAATTACTTCTCGTGCAACGGCAAAAATCCTATATTTAATTTAGATTCAGTTTTTTTCGTTTATCAATCATACTCTACAAATATTAAATTGAGGTGAGGGATTGCGTTTGTGATTGTCCGCAGAAAGATTGGCCTCCCGTTGGTTGACCTATGGTCAGTCATCTTTTTTGCCTACTTACTACCTGTTAATGTTTAATTCCGAATTTTCAATTGATAATCGTCTGTCTGTAGTTACAGCTGCTAGGTAGTAGTGGGTGACATCACAATGCACAATTCATTAAAACTGGGGGATAATGAAGGACACATTGAAAGGCAAACAGACAAATATGTAATTCTGTAGCAGTCCTTGGGGCGCCTTTCTTTATTACATATTGGCAGTGTCCAGGCATGTTACACGGGGAGAAGAACAATGAAATGAGAACACTTCCATTCTGCCTCTGTGGTCATTTCGTCATCATGCCAAACTTAAGACAAATCATTTATGTAAAGTTCATTAGAATATTTATGACATTTAAATTATGTCTAACAAATCAAAAAATACAGGTGACAAGGTGTAGCTGGTGGCAGGATTCTCCTAATTCGAGTCATTGACTATTAGTCTACATTTACATTTTAGTCATTTAGCAGACGCTCTTATCCAGAGCGACTTACAGTTAGTGAGTGCATTCATTATTATTATTTATTTTTTCATACTGGCCCCCCGTGGGAATCGAACCCACAACCCTGGCGTTGCAAACGCCATGCTCTACCAACTGAGCTACATCCCTGCCGGCCATTCCCTCCCCTACCCTGGACGACGCTGGGCCAATTGTGCGCCGCCCCATGGGTCTCCCGGTCGCGGCAGGCTACAACAGAGCCTGGATTCGGGAGTACTGTTTCAATTATGATTAACTTCTAAATTATACTGCTATCGTTAAATGCACAGAGTATAAAAATATCAAAATGTATTTCTCCACTAAGTTAGTTTCGTTTAGGCCCAATGGTTCTTTACAGTCTACATTACAACCATTGTTTAGGATGACGTGAAAATCTATGCATGACACCAAAGAACCATTGGGCCTAAACGAAACTAACTTAGTGGAGAAATACATTTTCATATTTTTATACATTTACTCTGTGCATTTAACAATAGCAGTATAATTTAGAAGTTAATCATAATAGAAACAGTTTGGCATGACAATGCACCACTACATGAACCAGAAACCATATATAAATAGAAACATAATGTCTCTTAGAAATTGCAACTCCCAAACATTCCAATCCATGTTTACTTTTCACAAAAATCTCTTTCAAATAGTAAATATCCTCAACAGGTTTTATAAAATGCACAGTGGTTGCATTTCATCTGCTACTACAGAACACTTACTTAGCAATATAAAAATCATAAAACAAACAAGAAAAGCGCCATGTGTCAGACAGCATGAAAGCCATTATACACACACTCTTTCACACAAACACCTCTAAAAAATGTAAAAACAGTAACACTCAATTATCATGATAATCATTTAAAAGATATTAATCAAAACAAAAATGAGGGAACAAACATGATGCCCAAAACTAATTGCTGTTGTTCTTAGTCCAGATAAGACACAGGTGTATGACAGATGGGTTTAACAACGGCTTACATCTTTTGGTTAGTAAGTCAGTCATTCCAAGCGTGATGTGTGCCTTGAACACCCTAACACAACCCAAAAATGGCAAATGCTGAACAATCAGTGGGACATCTCAGCTCACCTGTTAAAAATCCTGCAAGAAATTCCTCACCCGTCTTTCTCACATTCTAAAAACACTCCAAACTCATGATCTAAATTTCACGCCCAACCTCACACCAACAAAAACCCTTGACCAAATTCTAATTCTTTAAAATCCCTCTCCGATTCTTCGTCCCCTCCCCAATCCCTTTACAGAAAACCCCCCTTCCCCATTCTGAATTATCTCTTGCTGCGGCCCGCTGCCTCTTTCTCCTCCTCCTCCGGGTGGCTGCTCTGCTGGTGGGCCTTCAGGTTGCTCTCTCGGCCAAAGCTCTTGCCACAGGTAGGGCAGGCGTAACGCCCCTTGGTGTGTGCCCGGTTCTTGTGGGCTTCTAGCTGCTCGGCACGGGCAAAGCTCTCCTCACACTCCTCGCAGGGGTGGGCCTTACGTGGGGTGTGCTTTTCCTTCTTGTGGGCGCGGAGCTGGGCCAGGGCATGGAACGTGAGCTCACACTCAGGGCAGGGGTGCTGCTTGGGCGGAGCGGGAGCCGCCTTGGGTTTCTTCTCCTCTGCTGGGACTTCACTGTCGTCTTCTCTGGCCTCCTCGCCTGCTGTTGCTTTAGGACGACCCCGTCTGCCGCCGGCTGCTGCTTTCCCCTTGGTCTCAGCCGGAGCTGCTGCAGCCTCCTCTGCATTGTTTCCAGTCTCAGCCTCCTCTGTCCCCTCTTCCTTCTTCTTCCTCCTCTTCCCTTTCTTCTCTCCGACCGCTGTGTCCTCTGCTTTAATGGGCCGTCCGCGCTTCTTGGCTGGCGAGGCGCCGCCGTTGCAATGCTGGTCACCGGCGTGGTTCTCCTGGTGCATTATTAGCTCAGACTCCGTTTCGAAGCCCCGGTTGCACTTCCCACAGCGGTGGGTCTTGGTAGGGTCATCTGGCTCTTCCACCTCTGCCTCTGGACGGGGGTGCTGGGCCAGGCGGTGGGTACGAAGGAGGGCAGGGCTGCGGAAGGTCTCACTGCAGTCCTTACATACAAACTGCCTCTCTGGACAGACCTGTCTCCTGTGGGTCGTCAGCTGAGGGGGACAGAGAGTAAACAGAACGGACACGTGAGTCAAGGCTGAGGGAAGAGTCCGGGGCTTGACATTAACTTTTTTAGCCTCTTGTCCTTTGGACAAGTAGGACTGAGTTTTTACTTGTCCGAAAGCTCAAGCCACAACAAAAAAAAGGTCTGTAACACCATGCAGACAATTACATTGATGGAAGTTACAATCTATCTGCAATATTAAAGCTGATCTACCACCCAAAATAAAAATAAAAAAACATTACAAAACTACTAATAAATAAAATAAACACCATGGGCAAAAAAGGTGACTGAAAATGGTGTTGTATGATGCAAGGAACCACTTCACAAAATAACATTCATTATTATCGCTGGTATTGACAATAGAAGGCAGCTGGTCTCTGATCCCATGTATTACATCTCCTCCTTGTGGGCTTGAGCAAGGCACTTAACCCGGCACAAAGTAAAATACTGCACGGATATAAAAAGGCTAGTGTATAAAACGCATGGTCCGTCAACCCTCCATCTGGAGAGCTACTGGGAGTGCAGGCTTTTGATCCAACCCTGCTCAAACACACCAGTCAAGGTCCTGTTGAGCAGCTGATTTTATTACAATGTGGTGTGTTCGAGCAGGCCTGGAGCAAAAGCCTGCACACCCAGTAGCTCTCCTGGAATCTCCTGGACAATAGTTGGCCATCCTGCAACATTAAAATTACAACCAAATACTTTTTATGTCTTTATAAAATAATTCCCTAATTCAATGAGCCAGGGATCAAATGGCTAAGGTGGGAGAGGTAGCTAACTAAGATGTTTATTTGCAAGGTTAAAATATTCAGTGTTCAGGGGAGATCTTGACAGAATAGGAGTTACTTGTCAATTAGGCTATTCTAAGATTTTTTTTTTTTTTACTTTGTCAGAATTTCATGGCCAGTAGAGGAGAATCCTAGCAAATGTTGAGCTAGTGAGACAGTATTACAAACGGAGTATGCAGCATTGGTTTCATCAACTGCGCACCCGTATCAACTGAATGTCGGCCATTTGCGGTTATACACGAGTGGCAACAGCCCACTGGCACACACACAGGTGATACACGCACCATGACTTTAAGGATTTTCATTGCTGAACAAAAATGTGCTATAACTGGGCAAATAACTCACTAACTAGCAATGAATATGAACAAATGTGCACTTTGATCTAAAAAACAAATCTTGCGACTGCATGATTGAAAGACTGCCTGTCATTGCAGGCCTACAATAATTATACTCCGATGCACTCTACGTAGATTGGGAGGACAGTGATCAACACTTCATATCCGGAAGGACACATTTAACCAATTCTGATCAGAGTAGCCTAATTGTTTGATAGTGATTTTTGAACGATTTGGACAACTTAAATCTATAATCTGCTGGCCTGAAAATGTTTTATTGCCCTGGGCAAGTGTTAATGTAGCCTGGGTAGCAGGTAGCCTAGCGGTTAGTGTTGGGCCAGTAAGTGAAAGGTTGCTGGTTCGAATATCACAGCAGACAAGGTGAAAACTCTGTCGATGTGCCCTTGAGCTAGGCACTTAACCCTAATTTGCTCCAGGGGCGCCGTACTACTATGGCTGACCCTGTAAAAACAACACACTTCACTGCACCTATCCGATGTATGTGACAATAAAACACCTTTATTTATTCTTATGTCGAGACACTTTGCTAGTTTTTTTCAAACTATTCAAGCAGTGTTACACTAAACACATATTGGTTCAGAACCTGTGTCACTGTTCTGCACTCACCTCAGAGAAGGTGCGGAAGCTCTCCTGGCAGTGGGGACACTTGAAGGGCTTGTCCTCCTTGTTGTGTGAGCCCTGGTGCTGGGTCAGCTCCTCCGAGGACGGAAAGGTACGGTCACACACATAACAGGTGAACAGAGTATCTCCCTGGGAATAAAACACAGGCATAACGTAATTTATGGAAGTTTTTGCTAAATGGGGGGGAGGGGGTCCCCGCAAATTCCTACTGGTCTAGTCTGGAATTAAGTATTGTTATGTTTGTTTGAAGCTTTTAATATGACAGAAAACTGTTTAAGGTCAAAAACAGGGCTTCAGTAGGTTCTCTCTTCTATTAAGTGTTTTGATTGTTAGGCAGGTTGTGTAGTAGCATACCTGCTGGAGCTGCTGCTTGTACTCCTCGCGATGGCTCTTCTTCATGTGCCTCTCCTTGGCTTTGGAGTTACAGAATGTGATGAAGCACTGGAAACACTGCAGGTTCTCATGCTGGTCTGTGAGAAGAGGGGGTCAGCGATTTGACAACTGAAACTGCATTGCCTTCCTTCCTTCCCTACCTACCAGATTGATTTCATTCAAACCAAAGAAAATCTGTATTCGTCTATGAGCAGGGCTGTGGCGGTCATTACATTTTGTCACACAGTGATTGTCAAGCCAATAACTGCCAGTCTCACGGTAATTGACCGTTAATTAACATAAAAACATTTAGCATCTCCTGGCTTCTACGCATAGCCTACAAGCCACTGATGCAGACCTTTGGAACATCTACATAAAACATTTAAAATGACAAATCCATGTAATATAGCCTACACCATCTAAATAAATGCATTATTTATTTTAGACAGGTCTAAAGAAACATGATATGAAGAAAATGTAGTCTATTTCAGAAGAACAGAATAGCATACTCTGAGTTGTCCTTATGTTACGCTCTGATCTGGCTATGCCATATGGCTGTGGGCTACACTAGCTCATTTGGCAGACAAGATTTGCTTAGAATTCCGTGGCATTATTTTATAGTATGAAGAATACAATAGAAAGGATATTTTCTCCAAACGATTTGAGGAGGTGCGCACATGCGGCTATTCTGTGTTGAGCGGTTAACAAAGAAAGAGGTACTCCTATATGCTTAACTTAAAGTTATTTATGTAACTTTAGTTGTGACAAATGTTGGGCTATATGTTTAGATTTTTAATACATTCTTGGCTGCATGATGCGACTAATGATGATTTGAAAAAAGTTGCATTAAAGTCATGAGCTCTGCTTTGTTTTTTTGCGCAGGCTGTACACATTTCATCAGTCTCTCAATCACAATTTGACAAGCACTTGATAATGCCTCGAATTTCCCGGCTGCATCCTCTTTGTGTGGCTGTACATGCCCCCTACAAAAATCCATGCCTTTTGCGGCCAGTGGCCGTTGTGCCCTTGGGATGAATATAATAATTATAATTCCCTTCTCCCGGCTGCGTGCCAAAGCAACTCTCACTCTGGCTCGCCATCACAGGCTACAAGTGAAGACACACATCGGACCTGCAACTGCGCCCGTCCTTATCCAATTCCGAGGTGCATATTGAAGATATTGGAAGAACTGTCCATATTTACTTTTTCTCAGCCAACAAGATGAGTAGGCCTAATGAACAGCAAAAGCACTAGCCTATGTCAATCTACTATCCCCTATAGTACAAAAGTTGACCTATTCTATTCAATAAATAAATATTCCAAACATATTCTGGGACAGTTGTGGGATGCGATAGATCCCAAATTAATACAACCACTAGCATCAAAAAACCTGTTTTAAGCAATGAGCCTGACACAACAGATGAGAATATTTAGCTTAAAATGTTGATAAACTGTTAGGCTATTTCTTCACATTATAAGCGCAGCAATGCGCACATGGCAGTAGGCTATAAGTGCGAATGTTCCATTAGCAGAAAAACATCCTTTGTCAAATGTGACCACAAATGCGATTATGCAAGTAATGCTTTTATTATAAAAAGGTGCATTTTAATGAACATTTTCTTCCCCAAACTTAAAACTCACATGCTGCGTATGTATGCCAATTAGGCTCTACACCCGTTGTAAAGCAGATTAATGTGCTTCATTTTAAGAAGTTATTTGGACACTTTAGTTGTGAAACAAACCTTATCAAAACATATAGGCCTATGGGCTACGCTACATGAGGTGTGTGACTATGATTTGAAAAAGTCACCAAAAAAGCATCCGCTGTTTCTTGCCTTAAGCTGGGCATCATTCACAAGTGATAATATATAATTCACAAGTGATAGGCTAATAGTCACCCATCACACTATTCTTGATTTAATCTTGTCTTTACATACAGTACCAGTCAAAAGTTTGAACAAACCTACTCATTCAAGGGTTTCTTTATTTGTACTATTTCCTACATTGTAGAATAATACTGAAGACATAACATCTATGAAATAACACAAATGGAATCATGTAGTAACCAAAAAAGAGTTAAACAAAACATATTTTATATTTGAGATTCTTCAAAGTAGCCACCCTTTGCCTTGATGACAGCTTTGCACACTTCGCATTCTCTCAACCAGCTTCACCTGGAATGCTTTTCCAACAGTCTTGAAGGAGTTCCCACATATGCTGAGCACTTGTTGGCTGCTTTTCCTTCACTCCGCAGTCCAACTCATCCCAAACCATCTCAATTGGGTTGAGGTCGGGTGATTGTAGAGGCCAGGTCATCTGATGCAGCACTCCATCACTCTCCTTCTTGGTAAAATAGCCCTTACACAGCCTGGAAGTGTGTTTTGGGTTATTGTCCTGTTGAAAAACAAATGATAGTCCCACTAAGCCCAAACCAGATGGGATGGCGTATCGCTGCAGAATGCTGTGGTAGCCATGCTGGTTAAGTGGGCCTTGAATTCTAAATAAATCACTGACAGTGTCACCAGCAAAGCATTCCCACACCATCACACCACCTCCTCCATGCTTCACGGTGGGAACCACACATGCAGAGATCATCCGTTCACCTACTCTGCGTCTCACAAAGACAAAGCGGTTGGTGCCAAAAATCTCAAATTTGGACTCATCAGACCAAAGACAGATTTCAACCGGTCTAAGGTCCATTGCTCGTGTTTCTTGGCCCAAGCAAGTCTCTTCTTCTTATTGGTGTCCTTTAGTAGTGGTTTCTTTGCAACAATTCGTCCATGAAGGCTTGATTCCCACATTCTCCTCTGAACACTTGATGTTGAGATGTGTCTGTTACTTGAACACTGTGAAACATTTATTTGGGCTGCAATTTCTGAGGCTGGTAACTCCTCTGCAGCAGAGGTAACACTGGGTCTTCCTTTCCTGTGGCGGTCCTCATGAGAGCCAGTTTCATCATAGCGCTTGATGGTTTTTGCGACTGCACTTGAAGAAACGTTCAAAGTTCTTGGAATTTTCCAGATTGACTGTACTTCATGTCTTAAAGTAATGGACTGTCGTTTCTCTTTGCTTATTTGAGCTGTTCTTGCCAAAATATAGACTTGGTATTTTACCAAATAGGGCTATTTTCTGTATACCACCCCTACCTTGTCACAACACAACTGATTGGCTCAAATGCATTAAGAAGGAAAGAAATTCCACAAATGAACTTATAACAAGGCACAATAGCAAAATTCATTCCAGTGTTTTGAATACTACATATATTAAATTCACAAGTGTAGGCAATAGTCATGTTTTTCTTATTTGTACTTTTCCTACATTAGAATAATATGAAGCAACTAAATACACATATGTAATCATGAGTACAAATAGTAAACAAAACAATTATTTTATTGAGATCTTCAAGTAGCCCCTTTGCCTGATGACAGCTTTCCACACTCTTGGCATTCTCTCAACCACCTTCACCTGGAATCAGTGGCGGCTCCTGACAAAATTCTCAGGAGGGGCAATTTTTCTGATGATATAGGTGACCTACACCATTTTAAAAAAGATATGTCCAGCAACAACATGAAGACAGGGGCAGCATAAGTCAATACCAGAAGCATTTATTGACTGATCTGGGGAGATGATTCCAGTTTCTGTGACAGATTATAATAATCTCTGATGCCTTTGTTATATTAGCTTTTGGTTGAATGTACTGTCGTAGTAAATATATAATGTTATAGCTTGGTCTGACTAAAATCTTGTGCATGACCCATTTTGTGTTCAGTTCTTCCAACTCACGAGTTCTTGCTCTGAGGACACACACACACATCATCACTGATAACACACACACACACACACATCATCACTGTTAAACACACACACACACACACAAATCCCCTCTCTTTAGGCTGAACATTTGAAGACAGAGAACCCGACTCAGAGCCAATGCAACAGTGGAGGGGACCTCGCCCAACTCATCAGGACCAATCAGAAGATCAGAACTACTAGATTCAATTCAACCTACATCATTTATTGTATAAAATGTCTGCACACAATGTTTTCGGGGCTCTCTTCTCCCTAAGAGTTTGACGAACGAGTCCGTGCACGCGATTCCAGATATCTTTACCTCTGAATAAACTGCCTTTATTATACCATATCCACCCTGTCCAAAGTCTCTACTTGGTATCAGTTCTCCAGTAAACTTGTGATTATCAACAGTACACAACGGTAACAAACAATTGGGGGAACTCACGGGGCAGATAGTAAGGTCGCAATGACACAGAAAGCAGTTCAATGTCGGGGTAGAGTCGCTCTCTTACCAGGATCGCGGTCCGCTCTGACCAGGGTGAAGCCTGTCTCCCAGCTGTATTGGATTCCGCTGCCAGCAGCGTTTTCATTATTTAGTCCGTTCGTAGCGGGTATGTACACGATCAACAAGATCAGTCCAAAACCGAAGATCAGTCCAAAGCAGAATGTTTGCAGAATGTTTGTAAACTAAGTCTACAAATTAAAAACATAAAATAACGCCACACTGCAGGTCGCAACATAGACGCTGTTAGCCGCCATTGTCTTAGTTACGTTCAACGTTACGTCACGTATGACGAAAGCGCGTAAGTGCATGCCCACAGACACCCATAGAGAATGTATTGAAAGCTTTGAAATTTGAAAAAAATAGATTTTACATGACAGGCTATGAGAGACTTCTGGGCGATTTTCAACCTGACTGATATCGCCCAAAAAACGGGCGGGGCCATTTGAAGCACGACTTTAGCCTGATTTGACATTTAGTGGCTGGCAGATCAGACGTGAACACTGATAACTGCTGTTGCCGTGATAGAATTGATTAGAAAAAAAATCCCTTCCTTTTCCCGTTTGGCAGTGCGTCGCCCATATCGCCCTATTGAACAAGCCGTCCCTGCCTGGAATGCTTTTCCAACAGTCTTGAAGGAGTTCCCACATATGCTGAGCACTTGTTGGCTGGTTTTCCTTCACTCCGCAGTCCAACTCATCCCAAACCATCTCAATTGGGTTGAGGTCGGGTGATTGTGGAGGCCAGATCATCTGATGCAGCACTCCATCACTCTCCTTCTTGGTAAAATAGCCCTTACACAGCCTGGAGGTGTGTTTTGGGTTATTGTCCTGTTGAAAAACAAATGATAGTTCCACTAAGCCCAAACCAGATGGGATGGCGTATCACTGCAGAATGCTGTGGTAGCCATGCTGGTTAAGTGGGCCATGAATTCTAAATAAATCACTGACAGTGTCACCTGCAAAGCATCCCCACACCATCACACCACCTCCTCCATGCTTCACAGTGGGAACCACACATGCAGAGATCATCCGTTCACCTACTCTGCGTCTCACAAAGACACAGCGGTTGGTGCCAAAAATCTCAAATTTGGACTCATCAGACCAAAGGACAGATTTCAACTGGTCTAAGGTCCATTGCTCGTGTTTCTTGGCCCAAGCAAGTCTCTTCTTATTATTGGTGTCCTTTAGTAGTGGTTTCTTTGCAACAATTCGTCCACGAAGGCTTGATTCACACATTCTCCTCTGAACACTTGATGTTGAGACGTGTCTGTTACTTGAACTCTGTGAAACATTTATTTGGGCTGCAATTCCTGAGGCTGGTAACTCTAATGAACATATCCTCTGCAGCAGAGGTAACACTGGGTCTTCCTTTCCTGTGGTGGTCCTCATGAGAGCCAGTTTCATCATAGCGCTTGATGGTTTTTGCGACTGCACTTGAAGAAACTTTCAAAGTTCTTGGAATTTTCCAGATTGACTGACCTTCATGTCTTAAAGTAATGATGGACTGTCGTTTCTCTTTGCTTATTTGAGCATTTCTTGCCATAATATAGACTTGGTATTTTACCAAATAGGGCTATTTTCTGTATACCACCCCTACCTTGTCACAACACAACTGATTGGCTCAAATGCATTAAGAAGGAAAGAAATTCCACAAATGAACATTTAACAAGGCACACCTGTTAATTTAAATGCATTCCAGGTGACTACCTCATGAAGCTGGTTGAAAGAATGTCAAGAGTGTGCAAAGTTGTCATCAAGACAAAGGGTGGCTACTTTGAAGAATCTCAAATATAAAATATAATTTGATTTGTTTAACTATTTTTTGGTTACTACATGATTCCATGTGTTATTTCATAGTTTAAATGTCTTCACTATTATTCTACAACGTAGAAAATAGTCAAAATAAAGAAAAACCCTGGAATGAGTAGGTGTGTCCAAACTTTTGACTGGTACTGTATACTAAATAATGTGTGTGAAATTTGTATTTGATTTAGAATGGACCGTTATCATGCACCTGTCTCGCTACGTCTCGAAACAGGGGTAGCGGGGGGAAAAAACGTCATCTATGCACTTAAATAGCGAATGGAGGATGCTTTTCCCGTGGTTCATTTTCATGCCAGCCAGGTAGGCTATACTCCTGTTGTAAAGAGAAGCAATGTGCTTAATATTTGGAAAATAGATAAATAAATATAGTAGGCCTAGCATATAGAAAGCTGATGGGATCCTCTTTTTAAGAGACCATCCCTCTGTTTTCTCATGCAATTGCATAGCCTATAGAAATGTTGCGCAACATGAGCTCATGGGCTCTCATTAAGTGTTTGATTAGATTTTCGATTACATTTGCATTGATGTCAGAGTAATTAGAGGGACAATAGAGTGCTGAGTACCAGGCAGCTAGCAAGTTTGGTAGGCTACTAATGACCATCAGCAGCCACGTGGAATTTGACTGCAGTCATGACTCGTACAGCCCTATCTGTGAGTCATTACAAAAACAGTAGAGTAACTTCCACCCAGCTCACATGGTTGTATGGTGGGTGGGGGCGGTGCTTTGAAGGAGGAAATGGGTTTGTAGGGTTCCGCTGGTTTCTCAGTGGTCAGTTCTGCAGGGGGATCCGGTGGCCCCTTCCCCATCACTATCTCCTCTATATTCAGTATGTCTGAGTCCATCGTGGGAGAGTGGATGTCCTGAAAAGTTTAAACATAAAGGAGGATGAGAGAGAGTTAGCCAATGAGGGAGGGAAATGAATATGCCATGTAGCCAGAGATGGGCTTTAATTTAGCTCATAATGGTTATCCTCACATTGCAAGCTAGAAAACTGAAAAGTTATGACAGACATTTACATACATTTTCAATAGATAACACTTGTGCACAGGCGTATCTCAATTAAATCCCCCTTATTTGGACTGGTTGGTTAAAAAAAAAAAAAAAACGTCTCCATTGAATTTATGGCTGGCCAGCTACTAACGTTAGCTGGCTAGCTAACTCGATGTTAGTTGTTAACTAAGTGGTTGACTAGTTAACTACTTAGCCAGCTAAGGTTAGCTAACGTTATAACTAGAGGTAGTTAAATGACCATAATCAATGGATTTTTCATTTGCTTGCTAGCTTGCAATAAGGTAAACATAAGATACCGTTAAACATGCATAGCTAGAAGCTCAAGGAGCTAACGTTAGCTGAAATAGGTTCCCAAACCAACAAGGCCCTAACGATTGCTAGCTAGCGGTGAGGAGGATGCCCATTTCATATATAGCTAACGTTAGCTAGCTACCGTAAGTTAGTCATTAGAAGGATAGATTGCGAGTGTCCCCAGAAACAGCTTTTAATTTTCACGAAGTGAAGTAACGGTAGTTATACTTTGGCTAGATGTCTATCGTCATTAGCATAGACATTAAATACATGTTACATGTCTACTAGCTGCGTAAACATGACTTAAGCTAACGTTTGTCTTACAAGAGTTTCACCTCAATGGTTGGAAAAGGCTACAACGACACGCCTGATGCCCAAACCGATATTTTAGTTAAGAATGTATTAAAATGAGTTTAGGGGTCCGTTTTAGGTTCTTGTTAGAGGGTTTAAAAGTCAGCTGTGTCCTTACCTTATAGTCCTCTCCCTCAATGGTTTGCTAAGTAACGTTAACTTCCAAGTTCGAATAACATAAGCTAGCTAGCTACATTAGCTGGCTGGCTAACAATTCAAACGGAGAAATAACATTTTAGCATATTACGGACACGTTTAGTTCACGGAAACCAACTGCCCCACCATAATTATATGGTAAATATGTAGGCATAAGTCTTAAACGATATATTAGCAAACTAACGTTACAGCTAAACATGAATTGTGAACAAGCCGTTAGCCACCTACCTCAAACCGCTTCCAGTACAGTGAAGTGAATGTGGAAATTGAATTGACCCTTGTCACGTGATAAGGGCAATATTTTGGTCTTCAGCAAAAAAAAATGTAGCGTAATGCTTCTCTGCTCGTTTTCACTAAAAACTTGAGCAAATGCATGGACACGTGTTTGTCTATGCTTGGGTGCGGTTGATTTAGTAAATAATCGAATTCATTCGCTGGTTGTAGCTAAAGACTAGATTAATAACTCCGGTGAATAATATACTTTGAGAGCAGCAGGTAGACCAATACAATTCACAACCCAAACAGTTAGAAAGCTTACTACATGTATTTGCTCAAATAGTATTAAATAAATTATTCAATTTACAAAGAATGCCAAAAACACATGCAAAAGCTTCTTGGCATGTAAACAACAAAACAAGGTTCAGGAAAAAAAACATCAAATGTATTTTCACTTGGTTTCAGAGACAGTCACTTTATGGTTATCATTAATTCTCTATTCACATGTTATTTTGTAGGCAAATTCATACAACAAAAGCCATTGCATTTACACAGTAGGCTAAAAGGGACCAAGTTCCTAATTTACTGCACAGGACGAAAGCTGACACTGAAAAGAGAGAAGTACACAAAACAAATATTTGGGGTTGGGGGGAAAATATGAAATCTGAGCTTCTAACCTAAAATAAAAAAACATAACATTAAAAAAAAGCTAAACATACCATTAAATAAAATGTACCACTTAATTAATAAACAAAGAACTCTAATTAATTATCTTCACTGCAAGTCCGCTTCAAAAACTCCCTTGACTGTGGAAATTCAAGAAGCAGTTGTGGTTACGAGAGATGCAGAGAAACACGCAACACTTGAGGCATCGTACTCGAGACATTCGCTCACAGCCTCCGAAGCGGCACCTGCCACCTTCTCTGTCCCCAAGCTGCTCAGGCCAGTGGCCCGAACCGTCATACCTCGTGGCCACATCAGGGAGAGGACTCTCCTGTAACAGGCCAGGATCTGGGGCTGTGCCCGGGGCGTGTAATTTCTGAGGAGGGGGGTGCGGAGGGGCTGAGTCCTGGGTGTCTGAGCCACTGGAGAGGACCAAGGCCTTGGAGACCTCTAGCCTGAATGCCATGAGGTTCAGAGGCTCAGGCAGAGGAACATGATCCTGCCTGTACTGCATCCATGAGTTTACCAGAGCCAGATCTGTAAGGTACCACAGAACAGCCTGTGGCCAGCTAGTTGGTGCGGAGGTTGAGAGTGGGGAATGGTAGAGATTTATTAAGTCTCTATTGAGGCTGGCTGCCTTTTGGGCCTTCTCAAAGCTGTCGACGAGAGATGCCATGTTCTGCTGGGCCTTCCCTACAGTAGAGAGGATGAAGCCGAGATGGTACCTGTGTAGCATCAGCCGCCCGTCAGAGCTAACAAACTCATCACCCATCTGTCCTTTGGCTCCTCCCACCTTGCCCGCACCGTGAACCCCAGACCCTAGGAGGTGCTCCAACATGGCAGGGGTAGAGAGCTCCTGCTTGCAGAGATACACCATCCCTTCTCTGGGCACCATTTTCTCAACAGTGGCCTCTTTAATGGAGAGATCCAGACTAAGGTTGAAATCTAGGATCAGACTGTCCGATCCAACTAAGACAGTGCTGTGCAAGGAGGGCCGCTTGTTGTTGACCGCTCTACACGTCAAAGGGAGAGGGTATTGATCGACTCCATGGTCACCCTCTCTTCTCAGCATCAGGCATCCGGCCCGAACGTGGTCCAGTAACGGTCTAACCTTCCAAAGGGGGTCAGTTTTAAAACTAAAACAGTCCTGGCTGGATGGTTATGTCCCCACACCTCTGCCAATTGCTGTGAGGGATTGTGGACGTCTGTGTTGTGGATTTTGCAGACACAGACTTAGAGCTAAGAGCTTGTATTTGACTGTGGCCGCTTGTAAGTGTGTGGCCACTGCCATCCAGTTCAGCTTCAATTGTGCCAACTGTAGAATTAGCTGGGGTGTGTAAAGCTCGGAGTGTGTTGCATGTGGCGTCTCCCTCCTTAGGCCTGTCTGGATTACCACTGTGTCCAGCTTCGTGGGTGTCCATGGGATCCCCTGCTGGCGCTGGAGATGCCAGTTGCAGTTTGCAGGAGAGCTGGGAGAAGCGGGAGGCAGACATGGTGTCAGCAACCAGAGGCACCCTGGTGAAGTCCTGCCAGTACAGCTTGAGACTGGGGAACTAGGAGAGGAGAAAGACATTGAAGACGATGATGTTAGTTTATGCAGCATTAGATAGTATGCTCATAACAATGACTGTTTGTAGACATTCAAAAGTGCAGAGATTAGCATGAGTTTGACCCACTAGGCCTAACTACTTTGTTCTTTACATGTCCCATTCAGTGTAGTAAGGATGACGATGCAATAAAACTAGACGCAATATGAATAAGATTCAGATTATACGCTAATACTTTTATTTAAATACCTTCAATGTTCCCATGGCAATGTGGATTCCGACAAACTGGGCCACCTCTTTTGCTGTCACTGGGTTCGATAGATGGGACACTTTATTTGTGCACCGGGCAATCTCTGCCCAAGTGTCCCAACCAAAATACTTGGAGAAGTAATCAATGGGTTTCATGTAGCCAGTTCCTGTCTGGGACCCTCCCGTAGATCCTGAATCAGCCTGGCTTTTTGTGGTTGGCAAGCTGAGAGAGGACAACAATTTACATCAAAACTGACAACATGACATGTCCTTAAGGATACATACAGTACATGACAATAAAGTTGAAACTTTAAAATTATATTGTACAGTGTATTCATGATGAGTTAAAGGCAAATTACAATTCTTACTTGTTTGGTATTTCATTTGAATGCAGTGAGGCATGGTTTTGGCTGTCATGGTAACAGGCCATAACTACAGCCTCAGGGTCAGGCTGCGGGTCACAACATTCAACAACCCCTGACTCCACTGCGTCAGAATTCTGAAGTAGGAAATCAACAAGCTCCTCAGTGTCCTGCTGCTCAAAGTCCAGGTCACCTGGAAAAAAGAAACAGCATTTAGTCACATCTATGGATACCTTCACTATTGCTTATGAAACTGATCATGTACATTGCTACAACCACTTGACTCGTGTTGAGTAGATCTTACCTTCTCCATACTCATTGATCTCAGTTCCCAACTTTGCTGCTCTCCTGTTCACCTCATACTCCTCTACGTCAGGGTTGGTAATGGATAGATCCTCCACTGGATGGTTGAGTCTGGACTCTCCAGGCACCACCAGCACTGGTACCCCCTGCTCACTTTGAGATGGCTCCTCTAGAAGCTCACTCTCCTCCTCCTTCACTGGGTAGAATATGCACTGCCTGGCACTGCTCTGCTCCACATTCAATTGGGATTGACCATGACTAACCTGGGGGTCATTCAAAACCAGGTTGTTTTCTTGCTTCACCAGATACATCCTGACCCCCCTCTGCTCCACTGTGTGTCTGGCATGAGAGGTGTGTGGCACGGGAACCAAATCTGAGGTGTTCTCCTCCACCTTGACTTCCTGACCTCTCAAGTCTGCCATGAGCACCACTCCATTCTCCCCTACTGCTGCCTCTCTCTGCCTTGAGGTGAGGAACCTCTCCAGTATGATGCCTGGGGATTGGCCAGTATCTCTGTTGTTCCTGGTCCCCTGCTACTCCCTTCATCACCATCCCATCTTCTGTCTTCAACACCTCCACCACACTGGTGGTGACTGACTCTAGCTCAAACACTACCTGGTCCTCAGGGTCCTCCTCTAGCAGTGGGATGCAGGATCTAGATGGACATGGAGCTGTTTGCGTGTTTTGCTCAGAGATAGATCTGATCTCGGTCTGTAGACTGATGGGAGATGACTGACCAGGATGGAGAGTAGTGACGTCTGCTTCATCCTTGATTTCAGTATCGTTAGTGAGTGAATACAGCTGGTAGACTACTCGACATTCATCAGTTTCTTTCTCTGGTTCCATTTCTCTCATGCCCTCTCCTTCTAGACTCTTCCTTGTGGCTGAACCTCTCCTCCCACGTCCAACTCCTCTTCTCCTGCCCCTGGTGTAATTATTTCTTCCCACTTCCCTCTTTTCCTCTTCTCTCCTCTGCACCATAATCTCCTCCTCTTCTTGCTTGATCTCCAGTGGGTCAGAGGGGCAGGATTCGGTCTGTGCATTTTGGGTTGTTACAGTTGTATTCACATTTTCAATCTGAGCATGTGTAGGTAGTGCATGAGTGCTGTTGTTGTCATGAAGGCTGGATCCCTCATTGTGTGAACTGTCTTCATGAGGTGAGCTCTGGTGTTCCCCCTCATTTTGGTCCCCACCCCCAACAGTGACCAAATCCACCTCAAGTAGTAACTCCTCTTTAATTTCATCCTCAATAGGCCCTAGGTGCTCAGATCCAGAAACAGTAGGTATGAGAGTCTCAGCAGTGTCATTCATATTGCCCTGACTCTCTGACTTAGTGTCCTCTGTTTGGTGACAGCTGTGGAGGGGGGCTATGGGTGTGAGGTGAGGAGGAGAAAGACTCTCGGACAGAAGGGGTTTGGACCTTGTCAGATTTGGACAGATAAGGGAATTGAACTTGTGGAGGGGAGTAAGATAGAGTTGAATTTGGGGCCATATGAGAAAATGATTCCATCCCCTCTGCAGTGTTATCCATGTTCTTCTCCCTTTCCTTCTGTCCACCTTCAACAAGCGCAGCAGCCAGAGGCAGAGAGGGGGAAGGGTTTAGGGCTGGGAATGAGACTCGCTCCCCTCTTTCTCCCAACCCTCTCTCTCTCATCTCCACCTCTATATCCCAGTCAGATGCTACCTGCATTCCAAACGTATTTTGACTCAATGAATTCTCAATGACCTCTTCAGTCACTTTTAGTGGAGGCTGGCCTAGATCTGACCCAGAAACACCCTCAAAGATGTTGCCGTTAGTGTAGGTGAGACCAGGGCTCTCCACTGCATGCAGGGCTGCCTTGTGCTCCTGGAGGGACGAGACGTCAGAGAACCTCTCTCCACAGTCCTTACATTCAAGGGCTCGCCGGGAATGAGAGCCGCTGATGATCCCCTCAGTCTCCACTTTTGGGGCCTTACGTTTCCTGCTGGTCTTTGGCTTGGTCGGAGATGTGTCAGAAGAATGAGGTGTAGCCTTTAAAGGAGCCAACATAGAGAGTGCTGTGTGGCTCTTTTTGGGCCTCCCTACTTTTCTATTCCCTCCAGCAGCTAGCATTTTCAGTTGTTTGCTTTTTGGCCCTTTCTTCTTATGGATGGGATGGGTGTCTTGGTCTTGCTGGGGATCTGTTTGCCCTTGGGGGGCTTTTGAGGCATCTAATTTGTAAACTTTTAATTGGGGCTGTTTGTGACCCTTCAGTAGGAGTAGGGACTGTTGCTTTATTTCAGGGTCGGGCATATCTTCTGATATTGGGCTTGCTTCCATATTCGGTTTCTTTTTCTTTCTCCCCGTTTTTGATCGCTTTTGGCCCTTTGTTTTCTTAGGCTGGTCCTCCTGCCGTATCTTCTGCTGCTTTTTCTTTTTTGGCTTGGGTGGAGCTATCACCTCTTGCTCGCTAATCTGCTCAGAGCTAATCTGCTCAGAATGAGTCTCATTAATGACATCTTTTTGCTTTTTTACTTTCTTCTTCCTCAGCTTCACTTGCTGCACCTGCTCTTCTACCTGCAAGACTTGCTGCACATGTGAGTCACACAATATAGATGGGGATTTTATTTTTGACTTGGAAATACCGTTTTTTTTCTTGACCTTTTTTTCTTGACCAACCTTTTTTAAGGGCAATTTTTTGTCAGGTTGAGTTGTGAGAGACATTTGGTTCACGTCCTGAATCTGGTCTCCTTTCTGAAGCAGCTTAGATGGTTGTGGAAGCTTCTTCCGATTTTTAGGCTTCTCTTTCTCTTTAGGACCAAACTTCACGACAAGACAAGCTTTCTTTGCTCTTGGTCGTTTGGTAGGCTTCTCTTTCAACTCAACTGTCTGTTGTTGCATATTTCCTTGCATTATAGAGTTCTTTGGCTGCTTTCTCGTCCTCACTTTAACAAATTCTTGTACTGACATCAAATGCACAGGCAGTTGTGAACTCTGTGGCGTCTTTTTTGTCTCTAATGGCGGAGGGAATATTTCTGACATCTGACTGCGAGGTTGTATTTCTCTGTTGTTTAGTGCGTTGTTAGAAGCAGACTTATCGATCAGTGTTTGCAACTGCTCTTGTGCTGTCTGTTTCTTTCCTTCGCAAGGCTTTTCCAAAATGTGGTGCTGCTCACTCTCTGTGTTTTCTAGAAGAGGTTTCTCAACTGATCCTTGCCCTCCTATTCCTATCTGTTGTGTCTGTCCAATATTGGAATGGATCTGATCTAACTGTAATGTTTCCATCTGTATGGCCGTCTCTCCTACCTGGCTTGTTTGTCCAGGAGGAGTTTGTGCAAACTTAACTGTTGGTACCAATGAGGAAGTGGAGAGTTCGTCCTGCTGATCAGTTTTTAATGTCGTCAGCGTTAACTCAACTGTTGGTATGAGTGACGGGACAGACATATTTCCCTCCTGAACCATTTGATTCTGTCCAGAAGTCTGTTCAAATAGAATTGTTGGTAGTGAGGAAGCAGACATAAGTCCCTGTTGATCAGTTTGAGTCTGTTCCAACTCCAGAGTTGGTATCAGTGAGGGAGTGACTTCCAACACAACCGTTTGACTTTGTTCAGTTGTTTTCCCCAGCTCAACTATTTCACTGTGACAGAACACCTGTTCCATTGATACAGTCTGAATCATATTGTTCTCTTCTTCAACTGTCTGACCAGTCTGTCCAAGTAACTGCTGAGGAATCATCTCTCCTTCATGTGTTTGTGTTAATCCAGAATGCTCAGCTTCTCCACCCCAAGTCTTTTTCAGCTCTATAAACTGTGGTTGAGTAAAATGAGGTTGCAAATGCTCTCTCATTCCCTGTAGCCACTGTAGAGCAAATGGTTGACCGTGTGGCGGCACCTGTCCCAGTATCACCACCTGGTTCACTTTGCGCACGTTCCCCAAAGATTCTATTAGTTTCCGGATTTGTTCAGTGTCTATGTTGTCCACCTGCTGGTGGGGCCCAAGGGGTTCCATGTGGAGAAAGGTTGGCTGGCCCATAGGAGCCTGGGTTATGATGGGCTGACCTGGCTTCACCTGTTGGCCAGCTAGTGTGCTGCTGCTGCTGGGTGCTGTAACACACAGGCTGTGCTTGTGTTTCATGTGATGCAGCCGTGTCTTGGCAGTCTTGAAGGTTGCCTTGCACATGGAGCAGGGGAATTTTACCGCTGCAGTGCCTAGATACAAATAATAAAGATTCAAGTTTATATCTTGGTGTAAAAGGTGAGGTTGTCGTTTGTCACTAACAAAAAGGTTTGGCTCTGCATAGAATCACTAGCTTTATCGCTGTATAGTGTATATCACTATCGTTTCACTGCACATCCCAGTTTAGCACAGTAGTTGTATGACATGAAAACATAAACAGGTTTTTCAGTACTCACCACTATTCTTCTTTAGCTGTGCCTTGGTCAGTGGTGTGATCCCTCCACCTTCCTACCATTCCTTCCAGCGAATGCGCTAGTGCGTGTTTCTGGAGGGCCTTGGACATGCTAAACCTCTTGCCACACTCCTTACACACATAGGGCCTCTCCCCTGTGTGCGTGCGGCGGTGATAATTCAGTAAGGTGAGTGTCTTGCAGGGTTTTCCACAGTCTGAACAGGTGTATCCGTGCTCGCCGAAGTGAACCTTCTTATGGAGGGTGAGCTCAGAGGAGCGGCTGAAGGCCTCACCACAGATGGGGCACTTGAAGGGCTGCTTTTCCGTGTGTGCACGCTGGTGAAGCATGAGGTCACTGGAGTTGGTGAAATGGCGGTCGCAGACGTAGCAGGTAAACAGGGCACCCTCCAGAATGCACTGCTCGTACTCTGCCGGGTGGCTCTGCTTGAGGTGTCGCTCTTTGCTCTTCTGGTCGCTGAAGATGATGTGACACTCCAGGCACTGCAGGGAGATCTGGGAAGCTGGATGGAGGGAGAGGGGATTGGAGGACAGAAGGTCAGAAGCTGAGACACAATGGAGGTTATTATAAGAGCGCAAATGAATGAACTGTAGTAATAGCTTAAAACAGCTTATGTAAAATAGCATAAAAACACTACAGGGGACAATATGAGATTCTGTCTGCAATACTAAAGCATTGAAAGATAAATCTAAAAAATGTATTACATGTTAACAATCATGTTAGACTATCAGAGAAGAAGTTCAATACTCACATGTGAGAGGCATCACCATTTTTGGTGGCCTGGACATGTCCATCTTGAGTGGCTCCATTCTGTTCTTCTTGGGGGGAATATTTTTTCTGTCACCAGCGGCCACGTAATCCCCATGAGTCTCCTTCTGTGCATCCTCAGGTTGGTCCAGTTCCCACTCTTCAGGAGCAGCAGACTCTAGAGGAACAGCGGATAGTTCAAGTATTATCTCTGTAGGAGGAGTGGGGTCTGAGACACACTCCAAAGCCTCTTCTACTGTGGCAGGTAGCAGTTCACTCATTGGTTGTTCCCCAGTTTCCACTGGTTGTAACCCTGTCTCCATTGGTAGTTCATCAGTTTCCATGTATTGTTCACCTTTAGGTTGTTCCTCGGTTTCTACTGCTTGTTCAACTGTCTCCACTGGCTGTGTCAAGCTCTCCATGACCAACTTTGTTCCTGCCTCCACTACTGGAGGTCCCTCCATGTCTGTAAAACGAATTCCCTGCAGAAGAGTGACAAGTTCAACAACACTCTCACACAACATACTAAATCTGCATTAAGGTAAAACACAATGGCGTGGAAAACAGTAAAGCACACACTGCACACTAAAACACAGGCCAAAATAGACGTTTTATTTATTAAAAAAGACACCGACCCATAATGTGTGCACGTAAAGCAACCGACTCTTTATTCTGAAGGGGCATCCCAAGCTGAGCCTATAGGCTCGGATTCCAAGGGAATCATGACATGCTACTTCATTTGTCAACAGCTGGCAGGCAGGCAAATGAATGGACACTAAATTTGTATGACAAAGACGCTCTCAACGCGGGGTGGATTATAGGCTACAAGGATGGTATTTTACATTGCGCTAGAACAGAAAACCAACACCAACAAACCTACAACCAGGGGTACTTCACTGCTGCGCAAATGACGGGCCGACTAAACAAGCCAAATATTGATGAGGAACGTTATTGCACACAACTAACTGGTGTCCATCCATCATCTTTAATTGTTCGGATGTCTTGCTGGTAGGCTACTGGACAGCTCAGAAACGGCATTGATGAAAGGCATACAAATAGCTAACTTTGCATGGATTTAAAACATTTGCAACGCTCAGCATTACACACAAGCGGCCTTTATATCGCCGTATGACTGATCATATGAACACACCACTATGTGTAAATCTATAACGTTACCTATGTTAGTTTGTTTCGCCTAGATATCTCCGCGTCGTTCCTCGCTTCGCACAAAGCCAACACTAACGAGCTGAGGAGATTATGGCGTCATACCCAAACCAGGTTGCAGAATGGGACTTGTAGTTTTTCCTGAGATGCATTTATTCATTGCTTGGCCTTAAAGACACTGCGTGGTAAATCTGATGTTTGGATTGGCCGTGCGTTCATTCTTCTTGCGCTTCGCTGAGCAACGCAGAGCTGTTGTGAAGGAAGTGAGTTTCTGTTAATACAGGACCTACCGTCAACCAATCCTGTCAATGTGGAGCTATACGGAGACCTCCACATTATTACATAATTTGAGAGGCGCACAGCGATGCGGTAAAGAGCTCAATTTGGCCTCTGTGTACCTCCAAAGGCTCAGCGATTGCTTCACATCATCCATACCGCATCGCCGCGCGCCTCTCAAATTTTGTAACAATGCGGAGGGCTCGGAGTGGCTCTGCATTGACATTATTGGTTAATAGTAGGTGGGGGCGGGAGGTCCTGTATAAACACAAACTCACTTCCTTCACAACAGCTCTGCTCCAAGAAGTAGGAATGCCCTGACTTCTGCAGAGGCCATATCACCATTAATACTACAAGGTAAAAAAAAAAAATAATAAAGCCTTGCGTCACCATTTTTTGTTTTGTTTTGCGCTGTTGGCGGTAGATGCACTTGATTCAGCAGGCCAAGCACCGGGAAGGCAAGGTGTTCCCATTTTGAACCATTTCATGTGTCTGAAGTTAGAACTCTGCATACCTGACAGCCCTAGAGATCAAATCAAGTGCACCTATAGGCCTACCGCTGTCACTCTGGCACCAAAAGTTTAAAAAGTGTTGAGAGGGGACAGAACAACCTGGCGCCGACGAAGATGGCAGCCTTACGACTAGCTCTTACGAAACTTTGCAGTATTTTGTTTTTTTATGTATTTTTTTTACATTATTAGCTCAGAAAGTGTTTTGTATCATTACATACAGCCGGGGGAAAACTATTGGATATCAGAGCGGCAGTAACTCACCAGCATTATGACCAGGAATACGACTTTCCCGAAGCAGATCCTTTGTTTATTCTCCCCAGGGCAACTGAACTGATTCCAGCGGCTGACCCAAAACATCGCCGGCGGAGGAGAGGCACTCGGAGCGGCCTGCTGGTTCGATTTAGGAGGCGCGCACACCACCCACCGCTTCCAAGTATACTACTCGTTAATGTTCAGTCTTTGGTTAACAAGATCGACAAACTCCGGGCAAGGATTTCTTTCCAGAGAGACATCAAGGCCTGTAACATACTTTGTTTCACGGAAACATGGCTCTCTTGGGATATTCTGTCGAAATCGGTCCAGCCAGAGGGGTTCTCAGTTCATCGCACAGACAGCAATACATACCTCTCCGGGAAGCAGAAGGGCGGAGGTGTGTGTTTCATGATTAACGACTCATGGTGTAATTGTAGTAACATACAGGAACTCGAGTCCTTTTGTTCACCCGACCTAGAATATCTCACAATCAAATGCCGACCGTATTATCACCCAAGAGAATTTTCTTCGGTTATAGTCACGGCCGTGTATATCCAACCTCAAGCCGATACCACGACGGCCCTCAAAGAACTTCACTGGACTTTATGCAAACTGGAAACCACATATCCTGAGGCTGAATTTATTGTAGCCGGGGATTTTAACAATGCAAATTTGAGGACTAGGCTGCCGAAGTTCTATCAACATATCAACTGTTGTACTCGCGCTGCCAAAATCCTCAACCATTGCTATTCGAACTTCCGGGATGGTAATAAGGCCCTCCCCCGCCCTCCTTTTGGCAAATCTGACCACGACTCCATTTTGCTCCTCCCTTCCTATAGGCAGAAACTCAAACAGGAAATACCCGTGCTAAGGACTATTCAGCGCTGGTCTGACCAATCGGAATCCACGCTTCAAGATTGTTTTGATCACGCGGACTGGGATATGTTCCGGGTAGCTTCCGAAAATAATTTAGACGAATACACCGAAACGGTGACTGAGTTTATCAGGAAGTGTATAGGTGATGTTGTGCCCACTGTGACTATTAAAACCTACCCTAACCAGAAACCGTGGATAGATGGCAGCATTTGCGCCAATCTGAAAGCGTGAACCACCGCATTCAACCATGGCAAGGTGACTGGGAATATGGCAGAATACAAACAGTGTAGCTACTCACTCCGCAAGGCAATTAAACTGGCAAAACATCAGTATAGAGACAAAGTGGAGTCGCAATTCAACAGCTCAGACACGAGACGTATGTGACAGGGTCTACAGACAATCACGGACTACAAAAGGAAAACCAGCCACGTCGCCGACACCAACGTCTCGCTTCCAGACAAGCTAAACACCTTCTTCGCCCGCTTTGAGGATAACACAGTGCCACTGACGAGGCCCACTACCAAGGACTGTGGCCTCTCCTTCTCTGTGGCCGACGTGATTAAGACATTTAAGCATGTTAACCCCCGCAAGGCTGCCGGCCCAGACGGCATCCCTAGCCGCGTCCTCAGAGTATGCGCAGACCAGCTGGCTGGTGTGTTTATGGACATATTCAATCTCTCACTTTCCCAGTCTGCTGTTCCCACATGCTTCAAGATGGCCACCATTGTTCCTGTACCCAAGAAAGCAAAGGTAACTGAACTAAATTACTATCGCCCTGTAGCACTCACCTCTGTCATCATGAAGTGCTTTGAGAGACTGGTCAAGGATCATATCACCTCTACCTTACCTGTCACCCTAGACCCACTTCAATTTGCTTACCGCCCCAATAGATCCACAGATGATGCAATCGCCATCACACTGCACA